CGAATTAGATAACAAGTTCATTGGTTTATTAATTTAATAGACACACACCTTTATCAATCACTTAACTAGACACAAAGTGTGTCACTTAGCGAATCCAATTCACTAATTATATGTAGTGGAATCAATTATCTATTGCAATAGTAATTATAATTTAATCGACACCCTTTACGCAGGAAATCGTAGGCGTTAGACAGGGCGCAAAGTTATCATTTGTTCTATATAAACGTTATAACAACAACATGTGAGAGGCATTAAAAAGATCAAACGTAGAAGAGAGAATAGGCAACATTATTATTGCGGTTCCCGCCTTTGAACTTGTGCAGATGACATTGCAATACCGGCTAACAAGGAGCATGCAGTTCATTCTCTACTAGACATAGTTAATTGGTGATATGACAAACAAGGACTTTGTATCAATCAATCCACCTAAATCTGAGATTTTCAGAAAATAACAAAAAGTTTACAAAAAAATGAGGTAGAACATCTTGAGCGTATGAGAACTTTAAAGAACAAAGTAAATCAAGAAGACCGCTTACAATGTGCCAGAAGAACTATATATATATATATATATATATGCCATGCTTGGTCCTGGAGTACCGGTATGTACCAGAAAAGGAATGTCACCGACTGTCTCAGCAAAACTTGCAAACGTACACCTTGCCAGGGAGTCTGTATGACATTGAGGTCCTGAATTACACAAATGCTGACGTTTTAAAATTGGAGAAACTCCGAACTGCAAATATGCAGACAGATATAGGGACTGTCAAAAAGAATGGCTAGTACTGCGACCTATATTCTGCTAGGAATAGAACCAATACCGTCAACTGTTTACCGAGTACTTCTTAAATTTTTTAAGGTATAAATCAAGACACCACCAGCATAAATAACAAACAGCAAACTACCCCGCACCTTGGTCAGTAAAGATCATTTTAGTATAACTTCATGGTAATTTTTTGCACAAAAAAATGAAGTCTAATTGAAGATTACAATCAGATTTGCTTGAACATTCAAATATCATGCTAACAAAATTTTATTCTTTGAAATATCATTCAAGTATCATTTGAATCCGGTCGTTTAGGTGCAGAGTGAACGTTGATGTGTTGTGTGATCAAATTTTGAATGAGTTTCGTTATAGAAACTAGTAAATATATATATTGTCGAAATCCGGATATGGTGTACAAATTTTTGCACCTCAAGTTTGCGGTATACCATCTTTTCCGCAAGTTTATTGTTTTCTGTTTGGTAATAAATTAATAATAAGATCTATTTTGTTACATATTGAGATCCGTTTATTTGGCAATCGCCAATGGCAGTCAGCAGGGTTTAAGAACATCAGTTGTTCGACCTGCTAGTCAAATGCGTTTTGTTAAAATATACTTTTTCACTCACTTGGTCTTTTGGAAAATGTTGCTTGTGCTGTATTTAGACCCCTCTATCAAGAAATTTGTTTTGCATGCACACGTATAAAAATTGCGGTTTTTATCCAACGTAATCATAGGTTTGAACGTTGTTTTCAATTTAGACTTATATACAGTTTATACATATACAATAAAGCTGTACTGTAGACTTTAAGATTGCATTTTTATAGAATGAAAAATGTAGTAGGAAAGGAAATAAAAAGCAATATACAATATACAGTATTTGATTACGTGCTCTTTGCTTAACATCTAGTGGTAAATTCATGTGTGCATATTCAGGACAAGAATAAACCAAAATAGAGTCAAATAGGTAGATTCACTAATGTGTGCCGAACCTGGGTGAATTCTATTTCCACCTCTTAACCTCATAATGCTTTGTCATAGTTGGTATTGATATTCTCAAACACAGTAATGTACTAATATTCTGATTATAACCAGGAAAGCACATGCATATAATATATATTTTATGTATAGCATCCACTATTTGGGATGATAAATAAAAACGCAAAATAAAAATCGGACCAAGGATGAAAAGGGCACTTACATCTGTAATACAATCAGTGGCGGATCCAGAAGTTTTCATAAGGTGGGGGCGCTGACTGACCTAAGGGGGGGGCGCTCCAGTCATGCTTCAGTGATTCCCTATATAATCAACAAAATGTTTCCCACGAAAGGGGGGCCCGGGCCCCCCAGGGCCCCCCCTGGAACCGCCTATGACAATCCTATATACAGACAGCCAAAATATGCGTATAAGTAAAACAGCACAAAATAATGGAGCGGGTCCAAACATTTTCAAACATGATGGGGTGGTGAGGCCACATTGCAGTGGAGGTGAATTTCCTATTTTTGCCGGTTTTTACCGTGATTAAACGTGACCAACCGTGACATAAGGGAATTTCAAGTCCTGTCCCGTATTGGATCCACCAATGCCATATCAGATCATATCTAGTTGCAATGTACTCAAAGCACACGATGATCTGACATAGCCTGTGAAAACTTGTATATCTATGACTCAAAGAAGTATAGACATAAACATTGAAAACTTTATTTGAATTCGGCTTAGTATAAGACATATGAACATAGGCGCTATAAAATAGTGAAAATTTTCTCGAAAATAAAAACGTATACAAACATGACAAATAAAACAAAGCATCATGCAAATATATAAAACATACAACTCACTGAATACAACCATGCAACAACCAAATTACAGATTTCTAGCAAGCTTATATAAAAAATTAGAAAGAACTCTCTGACTATCACAAACAGCACTCACTGCAGCCCATGTGAAAAGCGCCTCTTTTGCATTGGCAGCTGTCTGGGACATCCAGCAGCTATTCAGCAGCGGTAAAATCATTATATAAGCTTAAAATTAGAGATAAAAATATATTAAGAAAGCAATTAAATAAACAATTAGATAAAATGAGTTGCAGAGCTGATAGTCAGGGGCGTAGCTAGGCCAAAATGATGTGTACTCAATGGCGGGGAAGGAAGTCATACGGCGAGGGGTCTGGGGCCGCTCAAGGCCCCCAGAAGCTCTGGAGTAAATGATGCAAAATCCTGCATTCTCGCGATTTCCTGGGACTTAAAATGAACTCACAGAAATCTTATTTGAATGAGTAACAAGTCAACTTTTTAAGATAATTAAATTTGAAAAAAAAATAATTAGAGAAAGTAAACTTGGTAGAACTTGTTTATATATTAGGTACAATTAAAATATATAGTGCAACCACCATATATTTTAATTGTTACCTAATCAGTCTCAACCCACTATACATTAGAAAATTCATAAATAAATGGAATCACATTTCTCTATGTTTTATTTTATAAGAGAACAAACAGTCTTTCTTTTAGCTTTTAATTCTTAAAAGTTAATTCTGAAAGTCAATGACCATTTCCTTTCCTTTCTTCTACTGAAGATGTCCAAAACCGTGTCTGTTGAAATTTGTTTTTCACGGTATATGCTCAATAGACCAAGCCCAGATAAACGATTGGTTTTCATTGTATTTCTATAGTCTTCTCGTGGTACCGAAAGATCGTTCTGTCGTTGCCGTCGAGACCGGCATACATGCATATACGTTAAAGTATATTAAAGTTTCCCGAGTATAAATCCTTGTTTATAATATCATAATTTGGAATTCTTTAACTATATGCAAATACGTTTGAAATTCCGAAATCTACAAGGAAAAGCATAAAATTATTTCCGATTTCTATTTATCAACTTCCAAAACGAGAGTATTTTATTTTTACCAAGCAAGGAGAACAAGCACTTTAAATAAACATGGAGAATAAGCACTTTTAATCTCGAGGCACGTATAGTTAAATCGGGGGAACACGTTGAACAAGGCACCCGTCTTGCACGACCGAACGCAGAATAAAAAAAGTAAAAACCCGTTGGTCGTCAAATAAAAAAAAAAACCGGCGAAGACGTTGCAAGAAAATTACCATTAACAATCTTAATAAAAGTTAAAATTAAGTTTGACTGGACTGTTTGAAAAAATCTGTTTATGATGACGACCTATGTAAGACTATACATATCTCACAGGATAATCATAAGAATGACTTGTTGCCCAAGAACGTCATATTTTATTTCATCAGTTATTTTGAAATCTTCAGAAAAGATGTCAGGGTAAGGAGGCATTGCAGCCGTAACATTGTGTTCTGACACCCGAGGACTCAGCTATTTTAATTGTCTGCATCAGCAACACAATCACGATTGAAAAGAGTAGACTAGTTTCCGGAACGAAATATAGTTACAAAGTGACTATTAGCATATTTTTATAATACTTTTTAATTTATTCTATTACTTTAGTTTTATTCTTACTGGATTTGCCATATTTTTATTTTTCCCACGGTCAAATTTTCGATGTGTACGCAACTGCGTTTTTGCGTACGGGTTGCTACGCGCCTGATAGTATAATAGCAAACACCTAAATTTAAATTCACGCGATTAAGCGAAATAAAGTTATTCGTTACCATTCCAAGACTAAATCAAGTTTCTGAATTGAGAGAAAAAAAAAACGGTTGTTCGTCCTGAAATGGTCCGGAAGAGTATTCCACAGGGAAGCTGTATCCAGAGAAATATGTATTATGTCTATGCTGTAGCATATTTAAACTATGTTTTACCATAATTAGATGTTCTTACCGTGGATACATCTAATATATTACTGTATATAAAAAGATTACTTAGTACTGTAGTTTTAACTTTTTAAAGACTGTTCAAACATGAAGGAGCTATATCATATAATGATTATTTGCCATCTTAAAAGTTTCTAAAGCCATATAGTACTGATTCTGTGCACAAGAGTTGTCAGCTTAGTCTTATCCGCAAGTTGCAATATAATTCAACAATACATTGACTAATTTTTTGAGTGTGGACACCACGGAGCTTTCTGTATTAAGTAATTTCGTAATTTCTTATCAAGATAAGGTACACATACAGTACTATATATGTCTTTGTGTCACAGACTGTCAGTGATCTCTGAGAATGTGATATTACATTAAAATTTTTGACCGATAGAAAGTTTTTAAATTTCGCGGGTAAAAGTTTTATTCCCACAATTCAAATTATGTAAACTCGGTGAGATGAATGATGGCTGACAAAGGGAAGGATACTATTTCTCACTCAGATAAATTAAGTGTTTGTAAAAAATTTAACCAAAGTAAAGTCGCAATGAATTTATTAACAGTAATTTTATATATTGGAATTCTACCTCAAGTAATTTTAGGACAAAATTCGGACGATTCTAGGAGAAATACTGACTGTTACGATGCTAACGGTCGGCCACAGCGCTGCATGCCAGAATTTATAAATGCAGCATTTGGATTACCCGTAGAGGCGACGAATACTTGTGGTGTCAAACGTGTTACAGAGTACTGTTTGCAAACGGGCGTGACAGGGGCAAGAAAGAAATGCCATTATTGTGATGCCCGTACTGCCGGGCTCGGCCATAATACTGATTTTTTAACGGATTTTAACAATAATAACAACTGGACATGGTGGCAGTCAGAGACCATGTTAGAAGGAATTCAGTATCCCATTGTAGTTAACTTGACCTTAAATTTAAGTAAGTATGTGTACATAAAAAAAATTGAGTCTTTTAAGATTTTTAGCCAGATGATAAAACCATAGAGCAAGTTACATAAATTACCATGATAGATAAAACTAAAAATACATTCAGCTTGTATCCTATTACAAATACAGTTGAAATCTTCCTATTGCAAATTTCCCTTCCAGTATCGTAGATGATATTTTTGTTTAAATAAGATAATATTTCTCAAGGTATAAGTCAAGCCTTTGAAGTAGAGAGGCACAGCGCAAAAGGAAGGTAACTTACTATACACATGTTTTACAGAAGGATTTTCAGTGGACACTTGTATGATCTTGTATAGATTATTTTATTGTGCAGACAATTAGTTGTATAACTATACAATTTGTACCACATTTTTTTAACATAATTAAAGTTTGAATTAGGCGGTAAGAAAATGTAGTGTACAAATGATTAGTCTGAGCTTGATGACACAATTATCTGCTTTATAAATTCATGATGCAAAATCTCTTCTTGCACTTGAAAAAACAAAAAGGAAAAGAATAGCACCTCTATCATGTCTATTGCTATTCTTCATTTCATTGTCACATTGAGGCTGTCAACATGAAGCAAATTTAAAGCTAACACTTTACTGCAAGTTACGACAGCCCCTAGGCGGGTGGTTTGCCTGGTTTTCAGCAACAACAAAATAAATGAATAAAAAACAGGCAAGGTTACATGTAGGTTCATTGCTGAATTATCCGATAAAACACAAACATTGATATCAAATTATGTTTTACCACAAAGTAAATTATCACAAAATAAACATCTTGTGTAAATAACTGTTTGTGGAATGGTTTTACTCTATAAAGTATTTCTTAGCATGTGTAATGACAGGCAAGATGTAAGTGTAGTTTGAAATTTGACTAAATTTATATACTTTTATTGCTGAATAGCAAAACGCTAATATTTTACATTAAACAAATAACATATTTTCTATTGAAATACATAGATTCAACATTTAATTTAATTCTGCAAATTTGAAAAATTCTGCATTATGTACATTTCAAGAATTTACAAAGTACAAAAATATACATTATATATATTATCATCCGATGGTCAAAACCAATTAAAAGGTAGTAGGTTCAATTAACAAGCATTTGCCATCTTTCCAGATGTCTGGTATTCGCTTAGTCACTATTTGAAAACAGAAACTTTGAACACAAAAAATTTCAGGTTTTACATAGAACTCTATGTACAATGTACATGTCTAAGATCTACTTTCAGTTTCACAAAAATGTGTACACTGGTCTAATACATCTAAACTGTACATTCATTGCAAGTAAATAAATAGTTTATTGATTAGGAAAATGTTTGCTGAGTTAAAGGTGGTGATGTTGCATAAAGACAAAACAGTATTATTTCCATTGTACAGTAATTTTTATAGAAAGCTCTTTTCATTTGGGTACTGATATGATGGTTATCTACCAAGGTATACAGTGTATCAATATTTTGAGCAGGATTTGTTTTGTAATAAATCAATAATATTTTGTTATTCAATGTTTTATCAGTAAAAACGGTGTGTGAAAGGAAAGCGCAGACAGGTTTCATTATATACATTTGTATGCAACTTTCAATATAATTATAAAATCTTGTTCAATTCCCTGATCTGGTTTTCCAAAAAGTTAATGATAAATTAACCATACAAGCCTATCTTTTATTAGTTGTAGTTTTGTTTTATAACCACCTAATACCAGTTTTTAAATTGTTGACCCAAATTGCTCTCATTTGTCAAATCAGTGTTCTATGGGCTATAATTATGGGGGTTGACACTTAATTTAACACAAAGAAGTCATTTGATCTGTAAAATAACACTGCTATTGGAGGCATTGTAGACAGTATTTTCACCCCAATTACAAACTTTGTTAAAGATAAATGAAGGAGATACTCAACATTCCATTGATTGACATAAGGTTAGGTATAAAATTTATTTGAAAAAAATCCATTCTAGTTTATGTATGGTCCTCCCTTCAAAATTTTTTTGGATGTTAAGCAACCAATAATCAATCAATCAAAATTCTTCTATTATAATTACATGTATTCATCCACCAGAAGATAATTCATGATTGAAATATTGAATGCTCAAAACAAGTTTACATTTTTATGCCCCCGCTGTAGCGGAGGGGGCATTAAGTTTTACCCTTGTCCGTCTGTATAACTCTAGAACGGTTAAAGTGACGCCACCAAAATTACTTGAATTTTGGTGGCGTCACTTTAACCGTTTTATAGTTATGCCCATTTATTAATGGAAAAATTCCAAAATTTTAAGTTTCCGTTCTATAATTTGTATATATATTGTTGATCAATTCCATTTTCTGTTTGATATATAGCAAAAATCACTTAAAGTATTAATTTATTGTGTTCCTACAACTAAACTGTCTTTTCTTAACTAGAAATTGAATTTTGAGTAAGTATACTGTAAATGTTCATATACTTGAACATTCTTTTTTGTGTCATTATTTCCCATTGGATCAAAATTGTTGTCAACCATGTCAACACTTGCAAATTACAAAAAAAACATCTACATGTGTATGTGTACATGTGAACAAGTTTTTTTTTAAGACTATACAAAGTACCATTGCCATTTTTGTTATAATATTGACATTTTTTGTAGTATGAAAATAAATTATGGGGAACATTAAGTGTAAGCTCACAATACATCTTTTATAGAAGAAATGCAAATCATATACATCTGCCTGTGAAGTCAAGTTTTGTTTTGATTAAACAAGAGAGCTACATCTTATTCATCTGATAAGAACCATGTAAAGTGAGAAATTCTGTGTAGAATGCATGTGTATTAGTGTTGAAAGGAACTACTACTGCCAGTCTTAATTTAGTACACAACTAAAAAAGTTATACAATACTGCAGTAAATGGATTGAAACTCTACTTTACATTAAATTTGTTTTAATTAAGCTAAATTCAACTGTCATATGCATAGTGAAAGGGTCAATATACATACACATGTATGGTTAACCCTATGTAGGATAAAAGTATACTAGAAATCTGTTTACAGAGATTTTCCAGAAATCACTTTTTATAATTTATTTATAGTTATTTGTGGAACAGCCTTGAACAAAAATTAGCAGGCAAAAATGCAATTATAAAATATTCATAGTAAAAGTTACAATTTAACTTCTTTGGTTTTCAGAAAATTAATAAGCTATGATTATTTGTCGCATAAACTTGACATTAAACATGTATTTTCATAAGTCCATGTGAAGATGCTTATTGTGTTTGCTGAGTAAGCACATGTTGATAACCTTCATGTTTTGTAATGATCAGAAAATTGTGTCTGTGGGGTGTGGTTAGGTAATCAGAACTGTATATTAATGATGCTACATTTTCTTGTGTAGTTTGGCAGATACTCAAATATTAAAGGAAACATTGTGAAGAAATATGGTTCAGTATCCTTGCATAAACTGCAAAAGTAAAACATCGATATCTGTTTCAGTTGTCATTCAGATGAAAGTTAGTTCAATTCAATCTTGATTTGCGAAATATTCTTTTTGTAAAATAAAGTTTGTTTTTCAAGACAGTTTTGAACATACCTTTCCCCCCCAGATAATTCATGTTCTCAGACTGTCTTATGTAACATACAAAACATTCTTTTGAACACAGAACCCACATGGTTTTATATTATTTATATAGACTGCAACAGCAGGTTTTCTATTTGATCCTTTTTGAGAGTGACTGGATTAACCATTATGGGGTAGCTCTTAATACAAACTACAAAGCTACTGAGTTCAACCATGGCCCCTTTGTTCTAGCATGAATTTTAAATCATTATTTGATGGCCATCATCACAATAAAATCATAAATCACAGTTAGAAATAAAACAATGACTAGATAGAAAATATGTTGATTTTTGATAAATTATGTACATGTATCAGCTTTCTTATAATGACGCGTCAACACTGACCACAGTTATCATTGCTTTTTTTTCTTCAAATTTCCACCAAATTCAATGCAAACAGGGTCTTCAAGACCAGACAATATATATATATATAAAGCATGTGTCAGCAAAATAGATCTTGTAACATTATATTTCGAATACCAATATATAGAGCATGTGTCAGCTAAATAGATCTTGTAACATTATATATATTTCTAATACCAAATAACATATTTGACTTGAAATTTAGTTAGTTGAACCAAGGAGGTTGTACTCCTTGGTTGAATCTTGCACTCTATAGGTTACCAAGGCCTAAATGTAGTTGAAAATCACTAATTTTGGCCTATCTTTGTATGTAAATATGAACGTATTAGTAAAGTTGGATAAACATTGTTCTATTTCACTTTTTTGCATGTTTTTTCATCATCTTGAAACCCTTAAGCTTTTTGTCTTGTCATAATGCATGAGATATATTATTTGGGGACCAAATAAAACCCACATGTACATTTTAATGGCATTTGTTATGCTTCTAGCTACTGTATATAGTTAAACATAAAGAAGTTTGGTATGAACAAGGTTTGAAAATGAAACATCAAAGTAAGAACTATTCCATATTTATTTTAAAATGACTGTATGACCTTATTTTGTTAGGCCAAAAAAAAAAAATGTCTGTTTAAGGTTACATACTTTAAAAGAATAGGGTAGTTAGGTCGGTATTTCCATTTTATTTTATTTTTTGTGACATGATTTTGAGTCATTTGGTTTCGTCTTGTTGTGGTTCGAGTTGAACATGGGCCGAGTTTACCCGTACTTTTAATGATTGGATTATTTCCCTTGGTTATTGGTTGGAAAAAAATGGCGGCAAAGTGTTTATTCCATCACACAAGTCGCGAATTTCCTTAAAACAGCTATCATATTCACTATTGTGAACATTGGGATGTATCAGGCAATTGATTTATATTATTGGCAACACTAACTTCACTTTTGACACGAGTTCAGTTTATTTTTCACTTTACGACGAAAATAAAATGACTTAGGGTCGGCGCTCAAAAGTAGGGTTGGTCGGGTAACCGTAAACAGACATATATTTTTTTTTGGCCTTATTGAAGTATTAGGTTTTAATTGCTAGTAAAGGATTAAGTTGCATGTATGCATGCATTTTTTATGCCCCTGCAGTAGCGGAGGGGGCATTAAGTTTTACCCTTGTCCATCTGTACGTACGTCCCAAAAAATTGGTTTCCGTTCTCTAACTTAAGTTTGCCTCAACCAAATGTTATGAAACTCATACACAATGTTTATTACCACAAAACACAGATCCAGTTTGGATTTTGGTGGCGTCACTTTTACTGTTCTAGAGTAATGCCCCTTTACAAACTTAAAAATTGCTGAATTTTTCGTTTCCGTTCTCTAACTTTATTTTGTCTCAACCAAATGTTATAAAACTTATACACAACTGTTCTAGAGTATGTGTGTTTACAAATAGAAAAATTGCTGAATTTTTTGTTTCTGTTCTCTACTTAAGTTAGCCTTAACCAAATGTTATGAGACTTACACATAATGCTTATTACCACAAAACTCAGATCAAGTTCAAATTTGGGTAGCGTCACTTTTACCGTTCTTCAGTTATGTCCCTTTATAACTATATGATATGCAAGCGGGGGCATCATCTGTGTCCACATGTGGACACAATCCACATTTATTCATTTTTTTTTTTGCTCTGTTGAAGGCCTCACTGTGATTTTGAGATGAAGAACAGCAATAAAAGCACTTTTCCTTCTCTTTTTGTGTATTTTTTGCTGTGCATGTACTGATTTTGTGTCCTGGCTGGATACCCTATATCCTTTGTTTTTCTATTATGCAATATTGTGTCATTTGCAAGTTACAGATTACTTAAAGTATAAGCTACCTGACACATTTGTTACATTGTAAGTACTGAATGATGTAACAAGAATGCATGTTCATTACATTATACATAATTCTTCTTGCCAGCGACAAAAGTCACAGAATGTAAGATCATTACTTCCATGGTAAGATATATATATACTTATCCTGATGACAACAGCTGTGTCGGTGTTAAGTAATTGAATAAAGCTTAAAAAACCAGAACTTAAGAAAAGTTATATATATCCATTATCCAAGTTGTATTTTGCATTTGAATGTCTTACATGGTCGTAAGTTTCTGTCTGGCATGCATTATGAAATTAACCTCATTTTGATGGTTCAATTATTTACTTACTGTCATTTTTTTCGTATTATGTACATGTACACTGTGCACTGTACAGGTAATAATTAAAACTCGACTTTGACTTTGAGTCTTTTTGCACTTACTAATATATTATAATTGTTAAATTTTTTGAAATTTATTAGTTTATTAATGATAATGTATTTGGCATTTTATTTTATATTTACATGTTTGTGTGTAAAGTTAGTTATATATGGGATCTGAATCTAGGGCAAAAGTGTCTATATGAGGAATAAATCATAAAAGCAACTTCATGCACTATGATTTGTTTAGAGCAGGTGTGATAGATTTAGTGGGGGCAGGGGAACCATACATCCTTTTTGAAACTACATAAATGGTAAATGCATAGACTTTTGCAAGTTCCACTACTAATGTTGTCTTTCCTCGACCCCCTCCCCCTTTTTTAAATCCTGGATCCCCACCTGCATGGAATATTAATTAGCTTCTGATGATAGTTTCTGAGGAATTATTATGCTGTCAAGATAGTCAAGGTACAAGGATTGTGAATATCTCAAGGTACAGGTGCTTGCATGAAGTCTCAGAAGCACCATGAAGAAAGGCAACAAACTTTAGCTCTAGGACAAAATATATATCATGCTAGATTTGTATATAAAAAGTATATCTCCTCAGAAAAGGTAAAGTTACATTGTCTATGTCTTTGAAACATTGAAAGTTTATGTTTGTTTTTGCTTTTTTAGAAAAACAATATGAAGTTACATACATTAGACTTAAGTTCTACTCTCCAAGACCAGAAAGTTTTGCTATTTATAAAAGAAAGACTGACAGTGATCCATGGATACCATGGCAGTTCTACAGTGCATCATGTGAGAGGACATACAATTTACCAAGACGAGGAATAATAACTTCAGAGAATGAGGCTAATGCTATATGTACAGATGAATATAGTGATATTTCACCATTAACTGGTGGTAGTGTACCATTTAGTACCCTGGAAGGACGACCTAGTGCTTTTGAATATGAAAATAGTCTTGTTTTACAGGTAAAAAAATTTAAATTTATGTACAGATATTTCTGGTATCCCTACTAATATCTATAGTTCTGGTTAAAAATATATAGTAGTTTATAATTTACATATGCGTGAGAATACCTTAATATTTTTTTTTGCCCTTTATTGTGTGTACTTTGCTATTATTCTCTACTCTTTAAACCCCATCCAGACCTTCTTGAATCAAAGGAAAATCTGTTAGGATAGAGAATACATGTAGAAACCGTCCTTCAATTTGAGTAGGTCTTTTTGACTATCGGTAGTTTGTCAAGTAGGGTTTTGACACTGTGTTGACACTTTCATACTTGCTGGGCTTCACTTGAGAAATAAAGTCTGTGTTGACCACATGATTATTGATGTAGGTACAGTGAGCTCGTTGATGACATTACACCCCATAGACCCATGTTTATCATTGGGTATTTGTGTGGTATGACAAGTGTTCTTTATTGACAATAGTTTTGTGTTGACTGTGTCAAGTATCCTTTGGTTTGTATGTACAGACACATTAATCTCATTTTAAATATAGATTATTTATAGCTTATCAAATATCATAGGAAAGTGACATACTAAAAAGACCCACAACCATAAATAGAATTCTTAAAATTCGACTATTGAACTTCATACAGGACTTTAAACTTGGCTACCTTGTTGTACAATACACTGTTTTATGGCATAGTAATTTGCTGGAGAATGACCTTTTGGATAAGAATATTTTAGAAAATCCTTGTAGAGCCTGAATAATTGTAGCTTCTGTAGATAAAAATGGAACATGATCTTGATAGGTTATTATTAGTCAGATTCTGGTTAATCATGAGATGAAATAATTAAGATTTTATGAACAGGACACACATAACATGTTAAATATGTCAGTATTTCTCTGTGAATTCACAGCTAATAAAGTCTAAGATATAGTGAAGGAAATGCCAGAAGCCAGACTCATCAATCTATCTTTTGTGTATTGGAGGAAATTAAAACTTACATAGATCTTTGTGGTTCACTTAACCCAGAGTAGATTGCACTTATAAACTCTCAAGATCGGCTAAATGTGGGCAGTCAGTGGTTTGTTGGCAAATGTGAATTGGTTTTCCGTTACATATATATTAGAAATTTTAATGTAGTTGTTACCATTAGTTTGGTATTATGAAATAGTTTTTCTTTCAACACAGGACAGTAAGATTGACGAAGTTGCAGATGTGTTTTAAAATGGAGACAATATATCATCAGTTTTGTGAAAAATTAAAATAAAGAATGTTAAAGAGAAGCCAAAGATACCAAAGGGACAATCAATTTCAAAGTCAAAAACAAAAACAAACTGACAGTGCCATGGCAAAAAGCGAAAATGACCAAAAGACAAACAACAGTACACAAAACACTAAAGGCTGAGCAACACAAACTCCACCAAAAACTGACCTAAATTTTGAACACTGATTTGTATATATTAATAATGAATATGTTGAGCAAATTTTTTGATAAGCTACCGGTACATGTAAACTCCACAACTTTTATTAGTTTAAAAAATAGGTTGATGTATTGATAAACTACATATACATGTACATGTAGATGTAGATTTCGATATAAAGATGATTGGTTCAAACAAATATGCTGAGGTTTGAGATGGGTCTACTGAGCCTATCTACATGTATCTTGTTGGTTAATTTGAGGGAAAATGTGACAAAATGTTGGTTAAGTTGAGGGAAAATTTAACAAAATGTTGGTTAAGTTGAGGTAAAATTTGACAAAAAGTTGGTTAAGTTGAGGTAAAATTTGACAAAACGATAATAAATACACAGAAGCCATTTGAATGTAAATGTGGTAATTTGAGACTTTCAGTTTGTGGTGAAAAATTAAATGTCAAATTGATTACATCACACTTTATGAATTTGGATCACACCATATGATCACCTCATAATATAACATACATGACAAACATAAACAACTCGATTTTACATCTATAATAATGTAAACATCAAGCATAACATTTAACAGTTAGTTGAATATGAAAAGAATGTCAAACATGGAAATTATAAATTTATGACCTGCATCAGACATGTCAAAAATGATTTTTTGTAATCTACTTCATGTTTACTGAAAGTTATGTTGATCCTACTGTTAAAAAGCAGCTACAATTGTTTTACTAGTCTCCTCACATGATTGATACTCATTGTCAATTAAAAGAAACATCTGAATTTAACTCAGAAAATCCAGTTTTTATAGTTTTGGTGAGGTGACTATGTATTGAAAGGTTTCACTCATAATATACCTACAGATATCTATTCCATCTGAAAATGAAAACACCCTAAGACTGACTAGGGTATAGAATTATTGTCACTTTTGGTCTTCTTCTGACTGGCTCTAAAACTCTTGCCAAAGTGAGGCATCTGTTTGGCTGCACAGGATGTATAAATATGCAGTCACGTCCTGGATGAAAATATAACCAAATATGCATATTTCAAATACAAAATGTAGAAAAATGTGAAGTATTGTCTCTGATATATACCAGTAAATAGTAAAAGTTTCATCTTTAAAAGAAGAGTTGTGGGGAATACATCTGAGTCATCAATGAAGTAACCCTAAAACATTATTAAAGCAAATTAGACATCTTGAGGTCAACATATGGTCTTCATCAATAAAAGTGTTGATACCATTATTGCATATGCCAAGCTCTACATTGCCCCAAGTCCAGGTCAACAATCATCCACTCTCAACTCTATTCTTTCAAAACATGAAAAAACAAAAAAGTAAAAAAAAAATATAACTTAAGACAACATGATACTTAGTATTTCCTTTTTTAGGACTAACACATGCAAATATTTAAATTTGTTATATTTTTGTAAAACATTCACATTGGTACATTTATTCTATGTTTATCATACACGCACCTGTTATAAATTTCTATATGTATTTAAACTACAAGTTGTGCATCTGGCTTATACACAATTCAAATTTTAATTCAAGGTCATACTATTGCACTTTGGTTTGAATTATATCTTTCATCTAGAATTTTATAGATTTAAGTTGGCATTGCATAAAGCCTTTCAAAATTTATCTTTAGACACGTTAGACAGTTTGTCAAAGAAATCAGAGACCTTGACACAATAAGATCTGTAAAAATTAATGTCTGAGATATTGTGTCAACCCATGTCAATTCTACAGTTTTGCAAGTTATGAATGGGTCTGACATGATTTGTATGTCAGATAATATTTAGATTGAATGGTTTCAGATTTATTACACAACTTTGAATGGTTATATGATTATATGACTTACACCACATTGAATGTTTAATCAGTTGTTAGTATGCTGCATACAAAGTTTTCTTTTTATCAAGGTCATTCACATATGAGTGCTGATTATACATGTACTTCTGCTATAATAATCATTGTTTACCTATTTTATTTCAACATGTGTGGAAAAAAGCTGATGTTGCCAAAATTAAATTGTTTTATCAGTCATGATTATAATTAGCTGATGTTACCAGATTTAACACTGATTATATAACCCTCACCTCCATGTGTACAGATTTCAACAGAATGAAATATTCCTATTGATGATGTACTTTTTCATATGTTGAAGTATTTCCACCATACAGACTCAACCTGATGATAACCATATCACTTTCAAATTTGAAATATACCTTCCATTTACATAATCTTTCAACAGATTTTTCTCACAGCTTATTGAGTACCGAAATTATCATTGTGATTGGACTGCCCCTAATGTTGAAATTGACATCATGGACTTAACAAAGTTCTTTTACCAACATAATAGGCCTGAGTGTTACATCAAAGTTTTTTTTACGAACTTAAGATAAAGTTTTGAGATTATTGAGTATTAAAAAATCAAAGTCTTCAAAAAGTAATAGTTGTTTACTTTAAGCATATCAAGTTTTGATGTAGCTAAGGAACACAAGAATTTGTTGAATTGTATTTTTGCCTTTAGTTATCATAATCATGCAAAGTAAATATTCCCTCTAACTTTAAAAGAAAATTAAATTCCTATTAAAAGTTCGTTCCATTTGCCCTATTAGCAATAGAAGAATTGATAAGATTTAGTTGCATTGGTATAGGTATAGTTCCAATTTTAAATGTCAAAAACTTCTATTTTAAAGGTATCCAAACAATTGATTAGTTAGATTTCAGTGTTATAGCAATACAAGCCTTTTATATAAAATAATCCCACTGTAAAGAAAAAAATGTTTTTCTCATGAATCTTCTTATCTAGAAATTCCTAGCAAACTTCACTAATAATTACTTACTGTGAAGTGCAATGACCTATATCATTATATATATTGAGCCAGTTTCAGTCCATTGCATTATTGTTCAGCAATAATTTTTGTCTGATTATCAATATCAAAGAAATGTTTATGTTGGCATCAGATGGGTAAATTTTTCTAGTAGACCTAATTATTCCAATAGAGCATTGGAACAAAATATGTTGTTTTGGTTTCTTATGACACTGACATTTTAAAAAGTCAGCACACAATGTAGAAGAATTAAGAAAAACCAATATTGTTCAAATTATTTTATTATTGGATTTTTTTACATCTTATTTCTGACAACAACAAACCTCATGTTTGTATATATATTTTTTTTCCACATGGTCAATCTGATGGGTTTATTTCATTGAAAGAATATAAGGTGCAGATACAAATTTTGATGCAATACTTAAAAATCATACTCTGTATCCCATGTGTATCTTGACATTTGTTTTATTTTGTACATTAGATAGTGTTTTATAAGATAAAACTACAAATGTAGATCACTTAACTGACAGTAAGAGTCTGCTGTTTTTCTCTGAACATGACTGATATGTAAATCATGTAAATAGCAGTCAGAAGTGGTTAGTTGGTGGATTTTTAAGTCGGAGGCTATTCTGTATTTAAAGATATATTTTTGACCAGGATTGCTAACAGGCCCAAGTCCATTAGTATGATTAATAACTGCTGTATGTCGAAGAACCAAAGCAAACAAGTGGCCTTCATGAGCAGAATTCAGTTATATTTGCTGTATTCCTTCTCAAAATACAGCCCTCAATTTTCAGCGTCAGCCAAATTTGCATATTCATTTGCATATTCTCCAGCATAACCAAAATTATTAGACCCTACTAGTTGATTTATAAATTCACTAGTTTTCTAATTTTTATGTCCCCACCGTAGCAGAAGGGGCATTAAGTTTTACCCTTGTCTGTACAGACGGACGTCCCAAAATTGGTTTCTGTTCTCTAACTTGAGTTTTCCTCAACCAAATGTTATGAAACTTATACACAATGCTTATTACCACAAAATACAGATCATGTTTGAATTTTGGTGGCGTCACTTTAACCGTTCTAGAGTTATGCCCCTTTATTAATGGAAAAATTCCAAAATATTTAGTTTCCGTTTTCTAACTAAAGTTTGCCTCAACCAAATGTTATGAAACTTATACACAATGCTTATTACTACATAATACAGATCAAGTTTGAATTTTGGTAGCGTCACTCTAACCGTTCTAGAGTTATATATGCCCCTTTATAAATGAAAAAATTACAAAATTTTTAGTTTCCGTTCTCTAACTTAAGTTTGCCTCTACCTAATGTAATATGAAACTTATACACAATGCTTATTACGACAAAACACAGATCAAGTTTGAATTTTGGTGGGTTCACTTTAACCATTCTCGAGTTATGCCCCTTTATGAATGGCAAAAAAAAGCAAAATTTTTAGTTTCCGTTTTCTTACTTAAGTTGCCTCAACCAAATGTTATGAAACATATACACAATGCTCATTACCACAAAACACAGATCAAGTAGAACTTTGGAGGCGTCACTTTAATCATTATTGAGTTATGCCCCTTTATAAATCGAAATATTGCAAAAATTTTAGTTTCCGTTCTGTAACTTAAGTTTGCCCCAACCAAACATTATGAAACCTATACACAATACTTATTACCACAAATCTCAGATCTAGTACAAATTTGGGTAGCGTCACTTTTATTGTTTTTGAGTTATGTCCCTTTATAATGTTGTATGCAAGCTGGGGCATCATCTGTGTCCCTAGGGACTCATTTTCCATTTATTTTTTAAATGTTAGACAGTCAGAAGTTGCATGTGGTCAGTAATTTGCTATATGGTTACTGGAAAAATATCTTTCACAGGGCTATGTATGATTTACTCTCAGTGTTATATTATTTTTAGGATTGGGTAACAGCATCTTCAATAAAGATCAGTCTAACCAGATTAAATACCTTTGGTGATGAAGTATTTGGAGATGCCAGAGTGTTGAAGTCATACTTCTATGCTATATCTGATCTTGCTGTTGGTGCTAGGTAAATTTTTCCTTCAAGCAGCCAGTGTTGCTTTATTGAAATAAGAAGATGCGGTATGATTACCAATGAGACAACTCTCCACCAGAGACCATATGACTTAGAAGTTAAAAACTATGAGTCACTGTATGCATTTGGATATCCAACATCTATCCATCCTTCATGGTCCCAGTTACAAATCTGTATGAAATCCCAAACACCAAAGCAAGTTCAAGTTAAGCTGTTTCCACAAATCAGTGATAAATCCCAAACATCAGAGAAAGTTTAAGATGAGCTCTTTCCAAAAATCAGTGATAAATCCCAAACCTCTGATCAAGTTCAAGATATGCTCTTTCCACAAATCAGAGATAAATCCCAAACCTCAGAGCAAGTTGAAGATGAGCTCTTTCCAAAAATCAGTGATAAATCCCAAACCTCTGATCAAGTTCAAGATATGCTCTTTCGACAAATCATTGATTAATCCCAAACCTCAGAGCAAGTTTAAGATGAGCTCTTTCCACAAATCAGTGATAAATCCCAAACCTCAGATCAAGTTGAAGATGAGCTCTTTCTACAAATCAGTGATAAATCGCAAACCTCAGATCAAGTTTAAGATGAGCTCTTTCCACAAGTCAATGATAAATCCCAAACATCAGAGCAAGTTTAAGATGAGCTCTTTCCACTAATCAGTGATAAATCCAAAACCTAAAGCAAGTCCAGGATGAACACTTTCCACAAATCACTGATAAATCCAAACCTCAAGAGTAAGTTCAAGATGAGCTCTTTCTACAAATCAGTGATAAATCCCAAACTTAAGAAGTTCAAGATGAGATCTTTCCACAAATCAATGATTAATCCCAAATCTCACTGCAAGTTCAAGATGGACCACATCACAACAGGTGGTCCTATTAAAAATTGTGACACAGTCATTGAAGAATAATTTTACTTCTCATGAAGCCCAATTGAAAAGAAAAACATGACAAGTTAAGAAAATGAACAGATATGGATAACCAGACAAATTTTGCTGTTTTTATACGCCCGTTTACGGGACGTATTATGGTATACCGTTGTCAGTCTGTCCGTCCGTCTGTCCGTCGTCAACATGTCGGACATTAACTCAAAAAATGATTTAACCAATTTGCATAAAACTTTGGTGAATTGTATATATCTATTGACGTGAGCTCCCTTTCGTTTTTTATAAAATTTAGATTTTACATTTCCGAGTTATGGGGTTTTATTCATTAAAAAAAGGGGGATTTTCCAGTTTTCGGACAATAAGTCAAGAAGGCTTTCACCAACTTGCAAGAAATTGTGGTGAATTGTTTATATCTGTTGACATGAGCTCCCTTTTGATTTTTATAAATTTTAAATTTACGTTTCTGAGTTACAGGGTTTTATTCATAAAAAAAGGGGGGATTTTCCAGTTTTCGGACAAAAACTCAAAAATTCTTTCAGCAATTCGTATGAAACTTTGGTGAATTGTTTGTATGTATTGATGTAAGCTCCCTTTAGAATTTTATAAATTTTACATTTTACATTTCTGAGTTATGGGGTTTTATTCATTAAAAAAAGGGGTGATTTTCCAGTTTTCGGACAATAACTCAAAAATGCTGTCACCAATTCTCATGAAACTTTGGTGAATTGTTTATATCTATTGATGTAAGCTCCCTTTTTATTTCCATAAATTTCTAATATGACATTGAGAATTAATTGAACTTTATTTGTTTATAGTCTGACAACAGATTTACTAAGTATTGGGGACTATTGCACAACAGCAAGAAATCTTTAATTGAATATAAATTCAATTCATATAACCAATTTCAAGTTCTTTGACTATATTTATTCAGAAACCTATAATATGTCAAATATTTAATTACAATCCAAATTCAGATCTGAATCAAGCTTGAATATTGTGTCCATTTTTGCCCCAACTGTTCAGGGTTGGACCTCTGCGGGCGTATCTAGCTGCACTCAGCGAAGCAGTTTATTGAACTTGTCAGTTTAGGATAGGAGGGGTAATGATATGATTTTGAGATCATTTTCCTCTAAACAGCAGTAGCAAGAAAATTAGCAAATGAAAGATTACAAAAAAATACTATGAAAAATAGCTAAAAATTAGATGCATTTATCATAACTTGTTGATTTGACCATATCATTAACTACATGTAACAATACACATTATTACACATGTAACAGGTGTAAATGTAATGGACATGCCAAGTCTTGCTCATTTAAAACTGATGGTGATTTGATGTGTAACTGTGAACATCGCACTACTGGGGACAATTGTGAGAAATGTGAAGCTAATTTTAATGACAGACCATGGGCCAGAGCTTCACAAGATGCTGCTTTTGAATGTTTAGGTATGGATATAAGTACTAAGTTGTGTTGATATACTAGGTTTATTTGTATAGAGTTTAAATGAAATCATTAGTAGAAATTTAGCTAGTAGTCTAATGCAATAGCCCAGTAGACAATCAAGCTAATTATTCCAGGATTATTATTTAGAATGACTAAAAATTTTAAAAAAAATGTATGCTACTTGGAAATTGGTTGGAATAGATTAATTATATCTTTTATCAATATTTTAATTAATGCTTTGTAGTGCTTTATCTATCATAACCAGTAACATACATGTTTATGGAATTATCAATCCTTTAGTTAAAGTTCATTTAAATTTTTCTAATTAGTAGAACTTCTATATATCTTAGATTCTATTTCATCTTTTCATGCCATCAGATGTATATCATGTATAAGGTATAGTATACATATTTATCAGTCTCTTTCATGTTAAAGGTCTGGTTCCAGGGATTCTTTGGTTTTTAACAGCAACCAGTGTAGATGGTTTAAGAAATTTAAAAGTTTTTTTTTATATTTTTGTATGATTTAAGTTGGCCAACTGACATATTAAAAAAATGCTGATTATCAGCTCTGCCTTTACAAAGTAGGATTAATTTTGAAATATTTGAAATATTTCCATTGAATATTTATTAATGAGTCTAAATTTGTTGTGAAAATATTTACTTTGTGTAAAAAAAAATCCCAATATGATATGCTTTTCAAACTAATGATGTATTAATGCTGATAAAAAAAATAATGAAATGTTTTGTCTTGTAATTTATGTTGAAGCCTAAATTTCAGAACTTGTTAATTAAATAAAAAATAGACAGCATAAATTTTAACATAAAAATGAATTTAATAGATATTCTGATAATATTTGTATGTATTGTGCTAGATCTTCATAAGTATAATGATACACTTATGAATAATGTTTTTATTTAGTCTTATAACTTGTAAGCATGGTTGTGAAATAAGGTGTTGGTGTACTTAACTTTATGATCTTTAGTGTACCTGATATTGAAATTCCTATCATATAACATACCATTTAAAAAGCAAATAAAGTTACAAACTTGTTTCTTAATTGGGTGAGTCTATAGACTGTACAGTAATAATACTTTACAGTAAACTGATGGTATTACATTGCAGTATAAGAGAGGGTAAACTTTTATTAGAAATTAAGAGTCCTTGTAAACATTTAATAAAAAAGGATTATTTAAATGAAATTTAATTTTATGTTGTTTTTTTTAAAGAAAGAAAGTTCAATAGTCATAAAATAGTCACATGCATAATAATGTGGGTTTACCTGAATATAATTTTAAAATCTTTTTAAAATTTATAACATACCTTTAGCATTATATAATATATATTTATAGTACAGATGTTGTTTTTCATTTAACTAGTTTACTGACAAAAAGTTTGTGTTACTCTGATTAAATGTTTTCTAAATAAAACAGTAAGTTAGTTTGCTATCTTGGTGTAAAATCTAAGAGATGTAATTCCATATTCAAAACATAGTCTGACATTGACCTTGTTATTTTGCAGCCTGTGATTGCAATGGTAAAGCAGATACATGTTACTTTGATGAGGAACAGTATAACCGGACAGGTCATGGAGGTCACTGTATAGATTGCCGTGACAACACTGATGGATCAAATTGTGAGAGATGTAAAGAAAATCATTACGAACGAAATCCTGATAGATATTGCACACCATGTCAATGTAACCCTACAGGTAATGATATAAAAAAGATAAAGAAAGATTTTATGAATGAAGCAGTAATAGGACACTGGTTGGCTTTAAGTAAACAAGTCCTGCAGACTGTCTGTCGCATTGTGAGACGGCACACGAATCTCAGTCTAGTGCAAAGCAGGGTCTATTCATGTGTCATTTACATGTTATTATACTTAATGTGCATTCAATGTATTCAGCTGAACGTTAAGCAGCCTTCAATCATGTTTCAACGAGCATTACAGTTTTACATGCATGGGAAAAAATGACATTGTTTAATTGGAGAGTGTCCAGAATAATGTGTCTATCCTTTTCAGTTTTGATTGATTTTTAGGGGTGTTTTGTATTATTTTCAATTATTATTTTTTAGTCTATCCAGGGTGACTTTGTTTTGCAGGTTCAGAGAATCTACAGTGTGAAAACAATGGTAAATGTCGATGTAAGCCAGGTGTGATAGGAGATAAATGTGACCGCTGTGAGAACAACCACTATGACTTTGGTCCCTACGGATGTCAGTAAGTTCTTACAATAAAATGTTAGGAAAGATTCTATGGAAACACTTCAAAATATTTCTCTTTGCTATAACTGATGGGCAGAAAAGATTAAGCCAAGAGTTCTGTTTTTATGCCCCACCTACGATAGTAGACGGGCATTATGTTTTTCGGTCTATTTTTCGTCCCTTCGTCCGTCTGTCCCGCTTCAAGTTAAAGTTTTTTGTCAAGGTAGTTTTTGATGAAGTTGAAGTCCAATCAACTTAAACTTAGTACACATGTTCACTATGATATGATCTTTCTAATTTTAATGCCAAATTAGAGAGTTGACCTCAATTTCACGGGGGCCTCGGTGGCCGAGTGGTTTAAGTAGTTACTACTGTAATCACTAGCCAGTCAACACTGAAGTTGTGAGTTCGAACCCGCTCGTGCGGGTGCACTCAACTCCATCTTAATTGACTAGGATTGTCAGTTTTCCTATCGAAGGTCGGTGGTTTTCCCCGGGTACTTCGGCTTCCTCCACCAATAAAAACTGGCAGCCACGAAATAGCCCAAAAGCGGTGCTTAAAAGTGGCGTTAAAACACCAAAAATCAAATCAAATCAAATCAATTTCACGGTCCAATGAACATAGAAAATGATAGTGCGAGTGGGGCATCCATGTACTATGGGCACATTCTTGTTTGGTTTTATTTTCATACCTATCACAAAAGGAGTGGAGATGATAGTGAGACTTAGGTACCGGCAGGTTCAACAATTATAAAATTTGAAATCAAGTAATACAAGTGAGACATATCTCCATGTAACTTTTTTATTTATTTATATTTCATTCTGAAAACAAAATAAGATCCAGGAAATATACTAAAAAATGGTGTCTGAATTTGGTTTAACAATGTTAGAAGGAACTTTTTTTATACTACATAAAAAACTTTGTTCATTTTTGTCATAAAAAAACTATAACAGGAGTTATTTATCAATTACCCCTATATGTATATTAAGTCAGATGGTTTGCATAAAGTAAAATAAAAAAGAAACAATTTATGGTAGATATAAGAATAAGAAGATGTGGTATGATTGCAAATGAGTAGACTCTCCACCAGCGACCTAATGACAAAGATATTTATCAGACAAGATCTTTAATACAAAAAGGCATAAACAAATTGAAGGATATCTTGATATCAGTGTTTCCAGCTAGAGTATTCACACAACACTAGGCCAGGTCAAGATTGCAAACAAAGGATAAAAATATAATCCAGAAGTAGCCAACTACCCATCCCATAATTATGAAAGGGTGTCTTCGTTTAAATTACAACATTTCTTATTATAACGATTTCTGTGAAGCCACAGTTTATATGTCAGATTACAGACATGAGGAAATATTTAATAAAATCTACACCAAAAAAATGGCAACTCATATGAATTCAAATTATAAAGCATAAGTATGAAAGTATATATATTACACTAATTTTTGTATGCGACTCTTTTCAAAGCACAAAAATCACATAGATTCATGCAGATAAAAATCTTAAAAGGTACAAAGTTAAACAATAAGTGTAACATGTTAATGCTTTCTTTCAGACCTTGTAACTGTGAAGTAGCAGGCAGTGAGAATAATTTAGCTAGGTGTAACCCAGCTGATGGCAAATGTGACTGTAAACAAAATGTTGAGGGCAGAGCATGTGACCAGTAAGTAAAAACATTTGGTGTAAAAACATGTTTTATACTCCAGCTAGAGCATTTCCTGTTGTCTTTATCTACCAAATATAGTAACAAAATTGCATTCTGTGCAATGTTGATTTCATGTCATGTCACTTTTTCTTCACAATTATTTTTGTGTTAACATTATCATAACTATAGATGTAGCCATTTTTAGCTGCAGTATAAAAACAATATTAGGTCAATGTCAGAAAGAATTTCAATTTTGCATGGAATTGTTGAAGGGCTTAGTTTCCCCAATTTCTAAGCCTCATACAAAAAAGTTGATATTATTTTTACATTGACCTGATATTGTATATTTCTTAATTTTAGTAAATGTATTTTCTATGTGGAAATGTAATTTTATACTAACGTATGTTAATGAAGTCTTATGAAAATAAATTTAAATTTAATTTTATATGATGTGATCATTTCACTGATATCTATTTACCTTATAGCAAATGTATCATGAAAGCAATTTCAGAATAAATTTTAATACATTTGATATTTTCTAAGAGTTTCATTCTTACTATAACACATTGTAACACATATATTCAGTTATGTTCAGAGATGAATTAAGCTATAGACCTTATATTCTTTTTTTGCAAAACCCATACACTCTATACACAACTATTACTGTTAATTTAGAAACTTTGTGTGATGTTTTATTTTTGCAAAAAAAATGGGCCAGAATTGTACATTTGTATTTCATTTCTTAGAACACAGTTTTAAATTACCATTGCTAATGTATATCAATATTTCCAGACATCGCATTATTTAATCTCACAATTTTGTCTGAATATCAACAATGGCAATAATAAATGCACACATGTAGGTCTGAATTTACAGTATTTTATGCATTAGTATCAGAGAGAATAATAATCACTTTTTTCAAAAGTTATGATTTACATTTACTCTGGTGGGTTGTAATGAGTTTCGTCCTTATTTTTAGGTGTAAGATAGGATATTTTGGTTTGAGTGAGAAGAATCCATTTGGATGTGTTTCCTGTTTCTGTTATGGACATTCCCAGGACTGTATCAGTTCTACAGGCTACTATGCAACTAACATTGTTACAGACTTTGAAACAGGTTTGTAGTATGTGAAAAAAAAACTTTTTCTTTTGTTACTCACAAAGCCAGTGTTAATAATAGTACACTGGACAGTATCAAAACAGATAATTTAAAGATTGGCATTTAGATGTATCATGTTGATATTTATTGAAGACAATCTTCATCACTGTGACCAATTTATGAAAACTATGTGAAGACTATTATTAAAAATTGTATTAAAAGTTATTTGATTGAGAAGTGCAGAGATATTACATTAATATAATATTTAATCATATTTGATACATTAAAAAAAATAATGTTAAAAAGTAATAAAGAAGTAAAGATTAATGGTTTCATAGAAAAGTAAATGTCAGACTATTCAGTTGTCATACCTGTATTTTTCACAAATTTTTTTACACCCCCAAATTGGCAATCTGTGCATCATCCTATCCTGTCTACATCTCCTAAACCAGTCTATGGAATTCGGTGCATTTTCCAGAAATGATTGAGTCAGTAGTAAAAAGAAATGTACACCTATTTTTGGAGTCAAAATTATTTTCAGGTTTTCCATTATTCCCACTTGTTGTGTGGTTTCCACATCTGTCATTTTGACAAAGTTAGGTTGCTAGCCTCACATACAACCTCTCTCCTCTACCATCCTGGGCTTGGTTCTTGACAATGGCCCAGTTTCTCAACAATACATGGCTTTCCTATTAATATCAAGATATGTAAATATGGGTAGCATGTGTTATATATTGGTGATCTCAGGTCATAGTGTAACTTGTTTAAAAGAATTTAAAATTGTATTTGCAATCCAAAGGAAATGTCAACATAAAAAATAGTAACATAATATCATAAAGCAGGAATACAAATAAGTTCTACTGTTTGAATTCTATTAAATCAATCCTGAACTAAATGAATTTTACCACAATTTCACTGTTTACCAAATTTCTTATTTCATCCACCAGTTCTATTTTTCATAGTTGTAAAGCTCTGAATCATAATGTCTTTGTATTTAAGTTACTGATTTGTCAAAATATTTATTTTAACTTTTCAGGGAAACAACGTTGGACTGCTTCAGACAGAGCCAATAATGCTATTAACACTCAATTTAATGCTTTCTTACAAAATCTTGGAGTGTCTTCCACAGGATATGAACATGTGTATTTTATAGCACCAGGCAAGTTAGAAATATATTGAGTGAACAAAAATCATTTCTCAATAGATGTTAAAACATATACAAGTAATTGTGTTGAATATTTGGTGGTAAACATTAGACAATAATGTGTTTAGCATCAGTCTATTCAGCACACCCAAAGGACAATCATTTCATTTTATATGATTTATGTTATTAACTTAAAGATCTTTTATGTTGATTACTTGAATAAGATTTCAGTTTTCGACTGAAAAAACGATGAGTAATACTGCACTACAAATAGACCTTTACTTTTTATATTTTATGTCTTTGTTTTTATTTTTTTTAAATTTAGAGTCAATGTAGAATTCTTTCAAATTTTTTGCAGCTCGTTATCTGGGAAACCAGAGATTAAGTTACAACCAGTTCTTGTCCTTTGATCTACGTACAGGGGAGGAAGAGGGAAGAGCCTCTGTTGTGGATATTGTACTGGAAGGATCTGGACAGAAAGTATCGTCAGCAATCTTTACACAGGGTAACCAAATGCCTGGAATAGAATCACACAACTATAAATTCCGTTTGAATGAACATCCTAATTATCAGTGGACACCAAGAATAAACGCTCAGGATTTCTTGACAATTTTGTCAAACCTGACAGCCATAAAACTCAGAGCTACATACAGCTATGGAGGTAGGTTATGTTCACTAATGTGGCACATGTGTTGTCAATGAAATAGGACAAAGTTGGTATGAGAAACTATATTTGATTGATTACAAAGTTTTGTTTTGATTTTGAAACTTACTACAAAGGCTACCAATAGTTTCTAAATTATAAATGCCACTAAACAAAAATCATGTGATATTTTTCTACGCACAAACCTAGTTTTTTACACAGGCGAATGAAGCTAATGTAATGATTTAAATAGATTTCCACCGAAAAAAGTTGAACATGCTGTTCTAGTTTGACCCCTTCACCCTGAAGAAAACATACCGTAAGGTGACATCGCCCATATTTTGATGTTTTCTTGCAGACAATGTTGTATAGATCCCAACATTGCATAGATTTCTGACATTGTCACATGACTTTTGTGTGTTACATTAAATCAGACATGTTATCTTAGAACTAAAGTATTATTGAAATAAAGTACAGTATTAAGAAAATTAAATATTTACATTCATGAAACCTTAAATTATTTGCTATATTTTATATTCATTATAGGTGTTGGTTTTATTGATAATATTGTGTTGGAGACAGCAAGACTGGGATCAAATGGTGGAGATGTTGCTGCTTGGGTAGAACAGTGCACATGCCCAGAAGGTTATGTTGGCCAATTTTGTGAGTCTTGTGCTGCCGGGTACAAGAGAGACCCAGTTAATGGTGGACCATTCTCAAATTGTGTACCATGTGAATGTTTTGGTCACTCTGATAGCTGTGAACCAAATAGTGGTAAGCTTAATAATAGGCCAGTTATAATAGTCAGAATTTAAGTACATGTTTTACAAAAAGTGAGACAATTTTTTTTTTAGTGCATCTATGTGTATATTTTTATTTGTAGGACATTGACCTAATTTTTTCTAATTTTATGTAAACTGTTCAACTTTTCGTGTTTTTGCTGATTCACTATTACATAAATTGTATTCTTATTTTATCCTATTATCAGTAGTTTACTTATTCAATGAATTATTGAAAAAATAGCTTCTACAAATTATATTGATCAACATCTATTTCCTTTAACGTTGTTTTACATATCTGTATGATAAACTATAGATCATTGTACAGATACTGTGAAACCTGTCTTCAAGACAGAAAATTTGATTTTGATCAGGGAGATATTTGTTTACACAAATTGAATTATTGAAGAATATATATACATGTGCTGATACAAAAATTCAGTTTATAAAGGTTTTAGGTTAGTTCAGTTTTTGCAATTGACAGGTTTTCCAGTGTTAAGAATTGTAATGATGCTTATTTTTAATTTTTTATTTCAGGTCGTTGTATCTGTAACCACAATACTGAGGGAAACTTTTGTGAGCGTTGTATCCCAGGTTACTATGGAAATCCCCGTGAAGGCACAGCTAACGACTGCCAGCCATGTCCTTGTCCTGATGGAGGACCTTGTGTACTTCTACCTGGAGGAGAAGTCGTTTGTACGCAATGTAGAGAAGGAGAAGGAGGTATAAAAGAATCTTTGGTTGTCATAAAAAAAAATTAGTTCGTGATAATATTTGTTTTACAGTTTTTGTGATTCAGTCAAATACTCTGGTCTTGATTTATGCTATTTACATGTATATTCAAGAGACTTGGAATTAAAATATGATTGTATAATGGGATAAATATGAAAAATGCATTTCAGGTAAACAGTAACAATCATTTTCACCCATTTCTCTGTCCATATCATAAACTGTATAAGCATGCTGGCTTGTTTTAAGCTGAGACACTTTTTCACATACTATTGTTGGGGTTACTATACCAGGTATATGATTACATTTTCACATTTTATACAAGTTTGAAGGGTCTTCTAAAATGTTAAACATATGATTTTTGTAGCAAACGGCATAATTACCTATTTATACAGAATTCATCAGAAATTTATTTCCTTGCAAACATTTAGCAAATCTGAAATTTTGCATCTGCATTGTACTCAATTTAACTTTATTCATCAAAACAACATTTGTACCTAAGTTCTGTAAACTATTTCAAATATCAACATGTATAATTACATTGCATTGTGATAAATGGCTGACATATCAAATTGAACAAGCCTCAAGATTTTTGCTGAGCTCTGATGTCAGAAACAGAGACAACAATAAGAGATTGAGGATGTAAATTAATTTTACAAGCCTTTGTCAGAGTGCTGGTAAATAGCTGTTACACCTATTCAAATCCTCATAGAAACACATTATAGTAGAAAGTAAATTTGCTTTATATTTGATTATATTTTTGTGTATTGACAGGAAACCTTTGTGAGTTTTGTCTTGATGGTTATTTTGGTGATCCAACTGGTTTGAATGGAGCTGGTAGACCTTGTGAGAGATGTAAATGTAATGAAAATATTGATACTAATGCAGTTGGTAACTGTGACAGGTAGGACATGTATTATAACTGACACATTTTCTTAATAAATATAACACTTTAAGATTGCAATTCCAATCAGTAGAATGAAAGGTATTTGTACCGTAAAATGCTAGTTATCCTTCATTTTTTTAAGGTTGGTTTTTATATGCCCGTTTACGGGACGTATTATGGTATACCGTTGATCGTCTGTCCGTCCGTCCGTCGTCAACATGTCGGACATTAACTCAAAAAAGCTTTAACCAATATGCATGAAACTTTGGTGAATTGTTTATATCTATTGACGTGATCTCCCTTTCGTTTTTTATAAATTTCAGATTTACCGTTTCCGAGTTTTGGGGTTTTATTCATTAAAAAAGGGGGGATTTTCCAGTTTTCCAACAATAACTCAAGAATGCTTTCACCAACTTGCAAGGAATTTTGGTGAATTGTTTATATCTATTGACATGAGCTCCCTTTCGATTTTTATAAATTTTAGATTTTACGTTTCCAAGTTACAGGGTTTTATTTATAAAAAAAGGGGGATTTCCCAGTTTTCCGACAATAACTAAAAAATGCTTTCAGCAGTTCTCATGAAACTTTGGAGAATTGTTTATATCTGTTGATGTAAGCTCCCTTTAGAATTTTATAAATTTTAGATTTTACATTTCTGAGTTATGAGGTTTTATTCATTAAAAAAGGGGGGATTTTCCAGTTTTTGGACAATAACTCAAAAATGTTTTCAGCAGTTCTCATGAAACTTTAGTGAATTATTTATAGCTATTGATGTAATCTCCCTATTGATTTTCATAAATTTCTAATATGACATTGAGAAGAAATTGAACTTTATTTGTTTATAGTCTGACTAACAGATTTACTAAATATTGCACAACAGCAAGAAATCTTTAATTGAAGATAAATTCAATTCATATAACCAATTTCAAGTTCTTTGACTACATTTATTCAGAAACCTATAATATGTCAAATATTTAATTACAATCCAAATTCAGACCTGTATCAAGCTTGAATATTGTGTCCATTTTTGCCCCAACTGTTCAGGGTTGGACCTCTGCGGGCGTACTGAGCTGCACTCAGCGAAGCAGTTTATTACAGGTAAGTGTTTCAATGGCCTTAATCTAGTTTCATGAGACTTTCTATTTATACACCGGTTTAGTCAGAAATTGAATCATTTGATTTTAATACAGCTTCAAGTGGACATTTGGTAACACTTTCTAGACAAAGAGTAATTGTTTTTGAAAATATTTAGGGTAGGTTTGTGTTTTCAGGTATTGTATTTAGTTTATTTACTTAATATAAATGTTGGGTTTATACAAAATTCTCAGAAATGGTCCTGAATATGTTTAACTGTCATTTGTTCCATGTTTGCATTGTGTTCTGATTCTTTGTAAATATTTCAGGGTAAATTACAATTATATTTGATGTGATGTTGCACTTATTTTGATTGTCTGTTGTTTATACTGTATCTTTTCTTTGGTCAGTGTTAGTCTGTTATGTAATAGGGAAATGTGTGTTAACACCTGAGTAAACATCCAACCTGATACCTTGTTGCAAATTTCTTTGACCTGACAATTTAAACCAGCCTGGTGTAACTTTCTGCCCTATATTCCAACTTTTGCTAATAAATGTGTCAATGAACAAAATCCTCAAAGTCACACATAATGAGTTCATAGTAATTTAAATAATTTAATTACTCCTGATTTCTTTCAGAACTCACCATTTGAACTTATGATATGTAAAATTAAGGATTTAGTGCTCATATCAACATTATTATCAACCTAATTTTAAGTCCTGTTATAACCTATCTTGTAAATAAACTCCTGGGAAAATATTGCGTAGCCAGTGCCAGTGGTATCCATGTTTGAATGAAACATAAATCATAAGTGAAATAAAACTTTTATTTTATATATATTCATCACTAATTTGGCCCTTGGGGAATCTACTCAGCTAAAATTTATAATTTTTTGCTCCATGCCTAAACCAAGAGCCTAGCTATATGCATACTGAAAAGTAGCAAAGTATAGACCCCTGGCTTGACATCACACCAATCCAATTGGAACGATGGTTCCAGATAAATGCGTGAGGTTATCAGGAAGCCTATGAGGCTATCATACCTAGAGGCTATCATGCCTATGAGGCTATGAGGAATCCTATAATGAGGCAATGAGGAAGCCTATAAGGAGGCTATGAGGAAGCCTAGTAGTGTTGATGTTGAATTGGTGTTGGAATGCATTTGTTTGAAATTTGACAGTTTATCCCCAGAAATTCTTGGGGATGAGTGAAATTTTTGAAACAACCAGTGATAAAATTTCATAAATGAAATCAATAAAATCAATAAAATCTGCTATAAACTGTGCAGAGATTGATTCCCCTGTCATGGCAATATTGAAGGTGAAAGGAGGGGTTGGTGGGTGGCAAGTTTTTAGCTATAACACTATTAGAGCAAAGATTAGTCTTATAACTGCTAAATCTGCATTTGAATAACTGGATACTCAAGGCAGCATACACAGGTTTTTAATACACAACTTCTTAATGGGATACTCCTAAATGGGAGGAGCTAAAACTGCACCCAGGTTTATGTATAAAGAAACAAAGGACAAAGGAAGTGAAATGCCACAAGTGGTCACTAATCAACAAGACATGTATATTTGTATTGGAACTGATGTAATTAAACCTCCTACTAAGAACATGTGATAAACTTCACATCTAACTGATTGAGATATGATAATAAATCTGTTTCATCTCAATAGTAAAGAAAACACACATCCTGGGAAAATCCTAAAATAATGACTATTGAGTGTAAGGAAAATCGAACTATGTATAAACATTACTTATATAACATATAAGTACCTATTAGAGTATTCGGAATATTTGAGAATGCATTTGCATAAGAATGTATGCAGATTACACATTGAAAAGGTCACTTCGTAGACGATACATTGTTATCACAGATTAAATATTTATCAGTTAAATGACCTACATTTCTGTCTCATCACAGTAAAAGTTATGTTTTATTTCAACAAAAATATTGATTAACAAATTATGTTTATACAGCCAACTGTGGGAACAAGATGAACTTTAGAATCATTGATTACATATATTTGTATACCAGATAAATATTTTAACTGCCACAATCTGAATGATGTATTTTATCTGAATAACTATTTTAATTGCAAAATCTGGTTTATAGAGCTAACAATTGGAACAAGATGAACTTTAGCATCATTGATTACATAGATTTGTAGATTATAAAAATACTGTGAAATAAAATAATTGAAAACATAACTGTATTATTGTTAATATTTTAGGTCATCAGGAGAATGTTTGAAATGTATCCACAATACTGCTGGATTTTATTGTAATAAATGTTTACCTAATTACTATGGTGACGCTCTAGCACCAACCAAAGGAGATTGTAAAGGTTTGTATTATCATTATCATAATCTTTTTCCACATTATTAACATGATTAAGTTTATAATTGAATTTTTTTAACATACATATATTTTTCATAGTTCTATTTATTAAAGTAATGCCATCTTGAATATGACATATTTCTCAAAATATTTTGTGTTATTAACTAATCAATTAAGTAAATCTCCTACATTTCAGTATATATTACATTGGTAGGAATATTACCCCGTCCCATAGTATTTGACTACCATAATTATTTCAGTTTGGCATTTTGCATTCAATAGGTTTGTACATTTTAGAAATTTTTGCTGACCTGGTTCTGGATAACATGATCTTCTGTTAGATTGAATTCCTCATGACAGATTTCGCATTACACATATAATCGCATATTTGAAATTTGGCACTTAATATGATGTTTGTAAGATGATAAGAGAAGAAACATGCCTTTATGTCTTTCAGTTTAGGACAGAGTTATTTTGATCTATGAAATAGAATTTTACTGCAATTTCAGGACAAAATGTTATTCTTCATATATTTGTTTAGTTCCAACTCATATTTAATTTTATGATCAAATTTTCTCTGATTATTTTTATTTCAGCTTGTAGCTGTTATCCTCCAGGCACGCTCAGTGCAGGTGTATTGTCATGTGACCCAGTGGTTGGATCATGTCCATGTCTTCCACATGTTGAAGGGCGTCAGTGTGATAAATGTCAATCTGGTTATTGGAATATAGACAGTGGTACAGGCAAGTTGAAATTTACAAATTTTGGTTGACCTCATTGAAAATAGGGATAATATATTTTCAATACGCTGGATACATTTTGTCTCCATTTCCAGAAAAAGTGTTTTACTATGCACTGATTTTTTATGTCATTTCCACATTCTATGGGCAACCTTGATCCCTGCTTTTTTGAACCGACAACTTCATAGTGGCTACTTGCAGAAATATTTTACTATTAATGTGTAGATATCTAAGTCAGGATATGAAAATTATTACAGTTTAGATATTTTTCCCTTTGCTCAACATACTAATATAAATGTCATGCCCCAAAAAGCGCACTTATGACATAAAATAACATCATCTCAAATTTAAATAGTTTAAAGAATGATAAAAATTTAATCAAGTATATTTTTGATAACACAACTGGTGTTACTGTTGAAAAAGTAATAATTGTCTGCCTGACACAACATGTAGACAAGGTTAAACGTTTTTTTGATTTATTAATACACAGGAAATGAATTGACCTTATATTAACCAAATGATGAAATTGGACATTTTGAATAATCACACCTTCTCAACAGAATTCTATTTGGTAAAGTGCAAAATTTGAAATAATGTTTTAAAATTTGTGATTTAATAATAATTTGATTGCAGGTTGTGAAGAATGTAATTGCAGTCCAATTGGATCATTGGATGATACATGTGAGCAGGGAACGGGTCAATGTCAGTGTAAAGTAGGTGTGACAGGCCTGAAATGTGACCAATGTCAACGATTCTTCTTTGGCTTCTCATCTGCTGGTTGTACAGGTATGTTTAAAACATACAATAGTGAATCAGTTTGTTTGTATGTTAATCTGTTTACAACTTTCTTTACATATTACTCACTTTTTGTATTGAGGACTGATTGATATTTGGTCTGAAAATTTATTTGTAAATATCTAGTAACGAGTAGGAACATACTTTGCACACTTTCATATGGAACTTATTGTTTTACCATAAAGAGTATGAATGAAGAATACAATTTAAATATTTCAGCTTGTAATTGTGACCCTGAAGGAGCATTGGACTTACAGTGTGGTCCAAATGGTAATTGTCCATGTAAAGTGGGTGTTGTTGGAGCCAGATGTGACATGTGTCAGGAGAACAAATACAACTTGACTGCTGGTTGTATTGGTAAGTGGATGAGTAAAAAATGTCATTTACTTATTTCAATCTATTTTCTCAATACATTGATTACAATGACAGAAATTTTGCTGTGAAATTCTTTTTTAACTTATTTGATTGATATACTAGTAAGGGCTATTCCAGAATTAATTGTATGGAGGGGGTTGGAAAGCACCTGTTATTAAATACTAATGATCTATGAGAAATGGGATTGGAAACGAGTTTCATATAATAACACATTTAATTTATAAATAGTTCTTTGTATTAATTCCATCAAAACCCTAATGTTGTTAGCTTGATAGAGATTAATTTTTCACTTTACCACTACTTTTGAGATAGAAAAATAAACACTACTTTTGAGATAGAAAAATAAACACTACTTTTGAGATAAAAAAAACCAAGTGCATTGAGCACATTCTATACATCCTATCCATGAAAATATATAAGAAATTTATCAATGAAATTTATACTTAGATATTCAAGTTTCAAAATGATAAGTATGTGTATAACCATACTTGTGAAGAAAATTACATAAATGTAATGGTGTATGAATTTAGTATCTGTTCTAAAAATATCAATGATGTCATTGTTAAACAAAGTAATATTTAAAATTGGAGTTATCTTTGTCTGGAATTGTAATTATCTCCAATTCATAGCCTTGTTTTCCAAAGCTTAAAAATGTTTACTTTTTAGTTCCCACTGTACAATGAATGCAATTTTTACCCTTCAGTGCTCTCAAGCACTTTGATTGCTGTTTACAGTCAATTTACTCAATCAGTATCATATCAAATATTGTTTATGCTCTTTTCTATATTTCAGATTGTGCGCCATGTTATAGCCTTGTCCAAGAACGTGTTAACAATCATCGTATGAAGTTGGACGATCTTCGCAATCTTATCATCAATATAGGCAACAATCCCAGTGCTTTCAATGACACACAGTTCTTACTTTATATGAATGAAGTGAACTCTTCTGTTGTTATGTTACTTGACGAAGCTAGAGGAGCAGTCAGTATGTATTAGATTGATATATAAAATTCAGAATTATTGCATGTATTTATTATTGTGATTTATATACCTCTGCTTTAAAAAAGTGGGGGTTTACTGTTTTACCTCTGTCTGTCCATCCATCCATCCGTCCGTTAGTCCGTCCGTCCGTCCTATGAATATTTTTTCGTCGCATCTTTCTCAGGAACTTCATTACAAGGATTTCTGAAATTTGGTTTCAGGGTTTATATAAGTCAGCTTTACCATTTGATGCGTTTTCAGATTCATCACTCAACAACTTCCTGTTTACCGAACACTTGCATCATTTTACACAGGATAGCCAAGTTGAAAATTTTCATCACACATTTTTCTCAGGAACTACAATACAAGGATTTCTGAAATTTGGTTTCAGGATTTATATAAGTCACCTACACCGTGTGATGCGTTTTCAGATTCATCACTCAACAACTTCCTGTTTACCTAACACTTGTATCATTTTACACATGATAGCCAAGTTGAAAATTTTCGTTACATTTTTCTCACGAACTACAATACAAGGATTTCTGAAATTTGGTTTCAGGGTTTATATAAGTCAGCTATACCATGTGATGCTTTTTCAGATTCATCACTCAACAACTTCCTGTTTACCGTCAAGTATTTGGGCGGGGGTATCATCAGTGAGCCAGTGAAGCTCACAGTTTCACTTGTTTAAGTCTGAACAAAAAGAAGAGATTGCTTATTGCAATTTCAGGAAAAGCTTTCTGCTGATACATGTATCAGCTATCAGAATGCAAGTTCTGATTATTGTGATACTCACTCAGTCGCATTATGCACATTAACAAAAACTCACAACAATTTCTGAATTTACATACCTATATTTTTTGTCTCGTGTGCAGCATGTTGCTGGGGACATAGAAATACCAAGCATCCATCAGTCTGTCTGTCCGTCTGGTCTTGTTAGCGCTCTCACTTTTTTGCCAGATAATTATTAAACTTATATCTTTAGGATTATATCAGCAATGTCTCAGAGAAGTTTTAAAATCAGTGCTTATCAATATTTATGAAAAAATTATGCCCCTTGGAAATATTAATTATATGAAAAATTGCATGTATTGTGCTCTTGTGTACATTTCATGCCAGATTTTTATGAAACTTTCATCAGTGTTCTCCCCAGGAATTTTGGATAGCATCACATTTGGCGTAAAAAAAAAATTGTATTTATATTTCAATGTCATTTGTTGCGTCGCGGCGATGCTCTCTTTCTTTTAAGTTATGTTGATTTTTTTCAATTCATAACTGAGAATACAATTAAAGTATAACTGTTCTTTTAGTTTATTTCTTTAATATTCATTTATAGTTACAGAATTATATTTTTCTTGATAGAAACTACCAACTAAAAATCTAGTACAAAAGAGAACTTCTTTTATATCAAAAAGGAAAAGAAAGTATCATATAGTAATACCATTTCAATTAAAAACTATTCTGTTTATCATGTTTATGAAATTCATTATTTCCTGGGACTCAATGTATCAGTCCCAGTTGTTTCAAACAGATATATGTTTTTAACATTGTTAAACTACTTTATCAGTAAATTAATTGAAACAATGCGTTTACATAGAAATAAATACATTTTGCAAGGAGATCTAACAAATAGTCTGTAAATTCATGTGGAATGAGAAGCTTTCCCTTTTGGGATCATTATTATTCTGTCAGCTGTGCCATTTCTGCGTCTGTAGTTATTACCGTAAAAATGCGGATTTTGATCATAGCTGGTCCGCTTCCGATCCGTAATTAGTACAAATATATCGGCGGTCGAAGAAAAATTTACGAAAATAAACAATGTTTGAGAAGCGAATTGGATGAATATATCACGATTTTACTGTAATAAATAGATGAAACATTACCTAAAGGCAATTTTCATCACGTTCTAATGAAGTATAGAACTTATTTTGCCCAGAATCGAAATGGTTTGTGTACGCTCTCGAGTCACAGGCGCTTGTTTCTATCCATGGGAAGCCCCACTATCAACGTATATTTACGTTGATAGTGGGGCTTCCCATGGATAGAAACAAGTGCCTGTGTCTCGAGTACCGGAATGGAAAGAAAACACTTCTTTACAAGTTGTTAGTTTGAAATAACAAACGACCAGCCTGTTAAGTTCGCTCGTTTTTTTGTTTTGTTTTTTTCTTCTCTTAGGAGACGAATTTGCCTTGATTCAAACGTAGATTTCGAATTGTTTATGATTTTCTCGATGTCAAAATTTTGCAATTGGGCCACGTGTTATCAGTCATGTCATAAGTGTCAGCTTGGGGTATTCGTATCCAAACAGTTATCACCCAAAGGGCAATTAACACCTATTTAATCAATCTTAATTGCCTCTTATGTCCGATTTGAAGGGATTACAATTAAAGGTGATATAATTTTTATGATCACAAGCGGCAATTCAATGAAAGTTCGAAATTTAGGACATCGATATTGCGGCAATGTATAGAGCAGACAAGAAAAGCATAGCGTCCTCAAAATAATTATAGCGTCGCGGAAATTATTATAGCGTCACGGTAAAAAATTATAGCATCGCGGGGCCGCGACGCTAAAACGGCCTGGGGAGATCACTGCTTTCATCATATGTTTATATCAGCAATGTCTTGTACATTTAGAAAATCAGTGCCGATCTACTATTTTTAAAAGAGTTGTGCCCTTGGAAATATTAATTATAACTGAAATTGCTCGCAAGCCTTCATTTATCGAAGACATTTATTAAAAGTTTCAAAAAGCAGAAAAAAAAAGGGTTTTTTTAGTTATTGCTGTTGGATAGATAACATATGTGCAACGTTGGGGACATTGGATCTTTGTTCTTTTATGTATTTGGATTTTGACATCAAATTGTTCTTAAATTAAAAAAACAAGAATTAGTAGAATGGTGTTAGAAGTCCTCTAAAATAGTGAGTAGGAACAAATTTATAAATCAGTACCCTTAAATAATTACATGTTTTGAAAAAAAGGTATTGCTTGGGATGCGAATATTTAATGTAAGGAAAAGGGTATATTCAAGACAAGTCTTTAAAATAGAATTATGGTTGCAGTTGAAACAAAATTGATTTCATCATTTACTGTAGTATTTTTATAAGGTTTGATAAACTAATTGAAATCCTTATTTAAGAAATTTATAGATTTTTTTTTTATTGAAATTGAATATACTTTAAATAAAGAAAGCAATTGTTGATTTGTTTAGCTGATAATGGAACATTAGGGGTACAGTTGGCAGCATTAAGGAAAGCTGTTCAAGAAGTTAACTCTAAAGCTTATCAGATTGGTGGAAAATTGACAGCTGCAGAAACAGCATCACAGAATAGTGAAAGAGACCTCAGACTAGCCAGAGAGGCCATTGATCGGGCAGAAAAAGCATTAACAGCAGCAGAGAGTTACATTGACACAGAAGGTAGAGCAGCTCTTCAGAGAGCTAGGGAAGCCCTGGCAAAGTTTGGACAGAAATCAGATCAGATGACTCAGATTGCTTCTAGGGCTAAGACAGAGGCTGATAGGTAATTGATAGGTCATATTACCTCATATTTAAAAACAAATAAAGGATGGATGAAGAAGAAAGCCTTTGTACTTGTGTATTTGCCTTCTTTATAAATTTCAATATACTGTAAATGTGGAAATTTCACTAATTACATAAAAATGTCCACAGCCCAAATACTTTGTACAATGCAACAATATTGATGTCAAGTGCCAACTTATTGTTAATGCATGAATTAACCCCTGCACAAGAATTCAGTGTATCAAAATTGGGGAAAATGAAAACTTGAAAAATATACTATGAAAAGTACCAGCATGAATTAGAAAACCTTTATAATGAGGTTTACAGAAATCTACATGCATATTCTTAAATTTGGACTTCAATAAAACAAAGATGTGGATGTAAGGATGAGCCAGTGTGAGCAGCCAAAGACAGTATCTTACATTTATAGCATGAAGCTCAACATTTATTTTAAATTTACAGGCAATGGAAGGATGCTGAGAGAATTGAAATGTTGGCAAAAAATGCTCTGAACACATCTCGAGAGGCCAAACGTCTTGCTGAAGAAACATTGAGAATGCCTGACAAAACAAGTGACGACATTACTAGATTAAAACAGCAGTATGTTATCTATTAATTCCAATTCTAAAATATCATTTGGTAATACCATATTCAACCAACAGTCCTGCTTCTTTTATCCACCCAAAATTTTTGATCTCAGAATTAGTAAGTACTCTTAATTGACTTAAATTTTGAACACATCATTAAGAGCCTTTATCACACCTCAGGTAAATAAATAACGATGTGATTGGTTTAGCGTCTTTATGTGGTGATCCCTTATGGAACTGTAGGGGGTCAGTAGATTTTGTAGGGGACATCATGGCGTCAGGTCTACTATTATTGTTATTTTATTGCATTGTTTAATTTAACATTTATTACGAAAATTGGCTGGAAAGTCCACTATTGGTTAAATTCATGATATGGTTCGTTACTGAGCGCCTACCAATCTATGGAAGGTTTGTAAAATCCATGGGGGATTCAGCCTACAGCCTGTTATTATCCTTTGTGAAAAAGTTTAAATGTTGCCTTTTGCCTTCACTATCCTATTACTAGATAACCAAACAACATGTTCAAATTGAGCTTGTTCTGCCTATTATTGAATCTTATATTCAAATATAAAAAATTGTTATAGGTACAATGATGCAGATAGACTTTACAATCAAACGAGAACATTTGCTGAGAGTGCTAAACAAAGAGCAATTGATGCATATGATGAAGCTTTAAAACTATATACAGATGCCACATCAATACAGCTACCAGGAACTGATGTTCCTGCTCTTAAAAGTAATGCAATGCTGATAAAGAGAGAGGTAATTATCTTTAGATTTCAGTCATATGTTAGACTAAATTTGGGAGTTGCTGATAGCTTTAACACATAGCACATCTTGAACATATACCCAGATTTAATAATTGTCAAACCTGTGATGTTAGTTTAAGAATGAAGACTTTAGTGAGCTGTTTTTGGCTTCAGCAGAGGCAACAATTGTTGTGATTACATCGCACAGACAAGAAATATCTCTGTGTCAAGACTATTTATTATAGATTAGTAACATAACAATATCTGTTTGTAATGTAGTAATAATAATAATAATAATAATAATAATAATATTTTTTTTATTTAAAGAGGGTAAACACAGTTATATACAATACAAGTAAAAAAATAATAAGAGAAAAAAAGTAAACATGCAACATATTTTAAAACACATAGTCAGTTCACAATTGTATAGTCATGATAGTTCAGTGTACATGTACCATTAGAACATATAAAACAGACTGAATATTGGGACTGCCTCAAGTATCGTTTTATAATTTGTTTAAAACAAAAAGTGTTTTGCACTTTACGCATTTCATATGGTAGACCGTTCCATAAAACTGATCCAGAATAAGCAAAAGATTTTTTAAACAGTTCAGTTTTTGGCTTAGGAACTATCAAATTACCTTGAGTAAGTAGTAGTAAGGGGAAGATGACTCCATATATTAAAACAGGTTCTCACACTTTTTTTTGCTCATTGTTCTTATTAAAAAGACTTGCTAATGCTAAGATGAGATATTTGACAGTATAAAAATAAGATGATGTGGTATGATTGCCAATGAGACAACTATCCACCTAAATTTAAAAGAAGTGGATGTAAGCAATTATAGGCAACCGTACAGTTTTCAACAATGAGAAAAACCAATACTGTATAGTTGGCTATAACAGGCCCTGACTTGAAAAATATGAAATAATTCAATTGAGAAAACAAAGTCGAATTTATAAGAAAACAATTTACGAAAAACATACATGAACCAACAACAACCACTGAACTACAGGCTCCTGACTTGGGACAGGAACATAAAGAATGTGGCGGGGTTAAACATGTTTTGTGAGTGCTCAAACCTCCCCTAACCTGGTAAAGAGGTGTTACAGCACAACATAAGGACAAACCATAAAAATCAGTTGAAAAGGGCTTAACTCATTGGATCGATACAAAGCAGAAAAACATCTGTATATTATGTCTTATATTTATTTATGGCAGGATATTTATACATCCCTAACAAAAAAAGACACAGTTACTCACAGTTACTAAGACAATAAACAAAATAAAGGAGTAGTTTTAAGATACTCAATATTACTGTAACGGCTTTCAATAATACTATTTACCCGCAAGCTTTATCCTGGGAAACAAAGAAGTGCTATATAGAAAATAGGTTATATTCTAACTACTGGTAAGTTTTCTAATGGGACATAAGTTAGAGGTGTTAAGTACAGAAGTCATGTGAGTTGTGAATTAGGCAGCTCAACTATTTATTCTTACTCATTAATTTAGATTTGTACATAGACAGGACTCCAACATATGATAATAAGTATTTAATTTTTTTTTATTTTAGGCACAGGAAATAAAAGATGAAGCAATGAGATTAATGAGAGACAATGCTGCACTTTTAGAGGATGTTTCTAATCAAACTAGAGATGCTACTGGAATGTTGAAGGTTGGAAATGAACAGCAGAATGTAAGTTATGGCATATCAGTAGAATAATGTTATCATTTAGCAGCTCATCTGATTATGAACTAGGATATTGTTGTTAATAAAAAATTCTAGATGAAAGTTCAATATGCAGTTAATTGATTTTCTTCAAAAGAGAATACTGTAAATTCAGAAATTCAGCATGCTTTTATTATTGCAAATCCTTGACTTCTGTAAAAATGTAAAATCTAATTATGTGATTGCAAAAATTTTATAAGGGAAAATCCATTCTGAAATTAAGAATGCAGGTTTTTATTATTGCGAACTTCAAACTGTGACATTTTTCGCATGAATTAAAACATAGCAATAATTTCTGAATTTACAGTATTGACTATAATGCTGACCAAAAGGCTTTAATTTTGTATGAAATAAGAATACAAAAATGTATGTTTTGAATATTTTAATGTGTACTCACTTTTCAGCGTGTTGACGAGCTGTTAGCTGAAGCAGATGCTGCAAGACAAATGGCAAGAGATGCCACCAACCGTGCTGAACAAACATTAAAGGAAGCCAGTGAAACACTCAGAATTTTACTGGGATTTAATCAACAGGTTCAGGAAAACAAAGACAAGGCAGATAATGCTCTTCTGAGAATACCAGAAATTGAAGCTATAATTGAAGAGGCAGAGAAAAAGACAACGGAAGCTCAAGATGCCCTGAGTGGAGCAGAGTCTGATGCCGACATGTCCCTGAAACTTGCACAGCAGGCACAAAGTACAGCTCAGAATGCATCTAATGTAAGTTATTCGAGGAAACAGATAATTTTTATACCCTCTAGATTAATCTGAAAGACAATCAAAAATAAGTTTTCTATTGTATCCATTTACTCAAATGCTGACAGACTATGTAAATATGAAGCCTTGCCATCAGTCATGCTTAAGTGAATCTGAGGTTTAACCTTTGATCAAGTAACAGAATAAGAACTTGTGATAGACCATATATATATGCATATTGTTTCATAACTATCTTTCATCTCAATTGCAAACTGGACTCAGGTTTGTCCCGTGAGTCAAATTTTGTTAGGTAAATTTGATTCCCCTCCTTTTTGTGTTATTAATGATTGGTTGTTGTTTGTTTAAAAGTTTTAAGTACTTTTGATAGAATCTACTAATAGTAATTGTTTAATAATCCTTAGGTATGCTCTAGTGAAGTAATTACAATGCTTAGTTCAATTTTTTGTTTGTTTAGCCAAAACACATTTGTAAGTGGCCAGTGTGATATTGTGTTATGCCTAATGTACAAACAATTAACATGTTTAAGTATTCATCAAAACTGTACAGTGTCATTTGAGATCTAAAGGTTCTTTAATCAGTAGTGATAAAACAAGTTTAGGCAGTTACATATTTGTTCACAGGAGGCAAGTAGAATCAGACAGGAAGCTGACAAGACAAAAGAGAAGGCTACCTATCTGAAGGATGAGGCAGATAACTTATCAGAAGATGTGAATAATTTAGAAAAAGACATAGCACAACGGGAAAAACAGGCTGATGATGATTCAGCTCTTACAAATGATGTAAGTATTTTATTTTAACTTCTACCCTAGGTCACAAGGTAACAAATCGCAGGAAGCACTAAAATCTAACTCAGACACATTATACTGACTGAGCCGACAGGTCTTTGCTTTTACTTATTGATGACCCTGGCTTAGTGGAGAACCAGCAAATACCAATTTTAATGTCTTTGGTTTGACCTGGCCATGGATCGTAACCCACCAACTCCTGCACTCAAGGCAAGCAATAGACCACCGAAGTGGTATATAGTATAGATAATTGATATATGATTTTAATGAAAAAAATAGACAATGTATAGATTAATACAAATCAGCCAATGTAGCTTTCTTGGTGATAATTTATCAACATAGGCTGACAAATCTGGGTTGATGTACTATGTTTAACAAAATTTTGGATCGATTGTTGCAGAAAACCAAATAGCCATTTGCATGCAAAAAGTTATCAGGAAAAGAAAATGATTTGTGATTTTTTTTATGCCCCCACCGTAGCAGAGGGGGCATTAAGTTTTACCCTTGTCCGTCTGTATGTCCGTACGTCTGTACGTCCCAAAGTTGGTTTCCGTTCTCTTACTTTAGTTTGCCGAAACCAAATGTTATGAAACTTATACACAATGCTTATTACCATATAATACAGATCAAGTTCAAAATTGGGTGGCATCACTTTTACAATTCTTCAGTTATGCCCCTTTATAAACATAAAAACTGCTGAATTTTTCGTTTCTGTTCTCTATCTTTAGTTTGCCTCAACCAAATGTTATGAAACTTATACACAATGCTAATTACCACAAAATACAGATCAAGTTTGAATTTAGGTGGTGTCACTTTTACCGTTCTAGAGTTATGCCTGTATACAAATGAAAAAATTGCTGAATTTTTCGTTTCTGTTCTCTAATTTAAGTTAGCCTCAACCAAATGTTATGAGACTTATACACAATACATATTACCACAAAACTCAGATCAAGTACAAATTTGGGTAGCGTCACTTTTACTGTTCTTCAGTTATGTCCCTTTATAACTTTATATGATATGCAAGTGGGGGCATCATCTTTTTCCCATGGACACGTTCCCCATTTATTATTTTATAAGATTAAATTTTTTATTAGTCCCCTGCCGACGAAGTCGAAGGGGACTATAGGTTTGCACTCCGTCCATCTGTCCATCTGTCCGTCTGTCCATCCGTCAGTCCGGCAAATCAGCTTTCCACACTTTTTTTCTTCGTTCTTGAAGATATTGATTTGATATTTGGTATATAGTTTTATCATAACAAGTTATAGATCAAGTTCAAATTTTGTTCTGGTCTGATGATTTAGTCCAGAGTTATGGACCATAACTCTGGACCATATCTAATGTTAGAGTACTATGTTAAACCATATTTCTGTACAAAGGGAGATAACTCATTTTTTAAAAGACATTCTTTGTTAAATTATTTGAAGAATTTTTTGACAGGTTTGTTTGTTATTTAGTATAAACTAATTTTCTGAATGCTATATATATAAAAAAAAAATTATGAAGAGAAATCCTTTAATTAGATGATAATCTATTTTTATTAATGTATATATTTCAATACATTACATTGTGTAGATAAAAGTTGTTGACATTTTATAGATAAGTTACAAATCTATATTAGTTTGTGACAAATGAAAGAAAAAAATATTTGGAACTATTAATTATATCTGATTATAATTTGAAAATAGATATTCACTGTATTACATCATATCTAATTCTAGAGAACTATTAATCATATCTAATGTTTTTTCATCATGCTTATAAGATATTGATTGATAATTGGTATATAGTTTTATCATGACAAGTTACAGATCAAGTTCAAATTTTTGTTTCCGTCTAATAATTTTGTGCAGAGTTATGGTCCTTGGACTTGAAAAATTCACTCATATAATCAGTTTTCAACACTGTTTTTAGTCATGCTTGAAGATATTGACATGATATTTACTTTTTAGCTCACCTGACCTGAAAGGTCAAGTGAGCTTTTCTCATCACTTTGCGTCCGTCGTCCGTAAACTTTTACAAAAATCTTCTCCTCTGAAACTACATGGCCAAATTTGACCAAACTTGGCCACAATCATCATTGGGGTATCTAGTTTAAAAAATGTGTCCGGTGACCCGGCCAACCAACCAAGATGGCCGCCATGGCTAAAAATAGAACATAGGGGTAAAATGTAGATTTTGGCTTATATCTCTGAAACCAAAGCATTTAGAGCAAATCTGACATGGGGTAAAATAGTTTATCAGGTCAAGATCTATCTGCCCTGAAATTTTCAGATGAATCAGACAACCCGTTGTTGGGTTGCTCCCCTTGAATTGGTAATTTTAAGGAAATTTTGCCGTTTTTGGTTATTATCTTGAATATTATTATAGATAGAGATAAACTGTAAACGGCAATAATGTTCAGCAAAGTAAGATCTACAAATAAGTCAACTTGACCAAAATGGTCAGTTGACCCCTTAAGGAGTTATTGCCCTTTATAGTCAATTTTTAACCATTTTTCGTAAATTTTTGTAATCTTTTACAAAAATCTTCTCCTCTGAAACTACTAAGACAAATTTAACCAAACTTGTCCACAATCATCATTAGGGTATCTAGTTTAAAAAATGTGTCCGATGACCCCGCCCGCGAACCAAGATGGCCGACATGGCTAAAAAATAGTACATAGGGTAAAATGCAGTTTTTGGCTTATATCTCTGAAACCAAAGGATTTAGAGCAAATCTGACATGGGATAAAATTGTTCATTAGGTCAAGATCTATCTGCCCTGAAATTTTCAGACCAATCAGGCAACCTGTTGTTGGGTTGCTGCCCCTGAACTGGTAATTTTAAGAAAATTTTGCAGCTTTTGGTTATTATCTTGAATATTATTAAAGATAGAGATAAACTGTAAACAGCAATAATGTACAGCAAAGTTAGATCTACAAATAAGTCAACATGACCAAAATTGTCAATTGACCCCTTAAGGAGTTATTGCCCTTTATAGTCAATTTTTTACAATTTTCATAAATTTTGTAAATTTTTGTAAATTTTTACAAAATATTTTCCACTGTAACTACCGGGCCAAGTTCATTATAGATAGAGATAATAGTAAGGAGCAAGAATGTTCAGTAAAGTGAGATCTACAAACACATCACCATCACCAAAACACAATTTTGTCATGAATCCATCTGTGACCTTCGTTTAATATGCACATAGACCAAGGTGAGCGACACAGGCTCTTTAGAGCCTCTAGTTGTTTACACCATGACAAGTTATAGAACAAGTTAGCATTTTGTTCCAGTATAATGAATTTTTACCCGGTAGGGGACTATGTATTGCCATGCAATACTCTCAGAATGCTTGTTTTTTATATTTTACAAAAAGCTATGAAATTTTGAAATATTTTAATTGTTTTAACAGGCATTGAAAAAGGCTAGTCAAGCACAGAATACAGCCAGAGATGTATCAACTAAAGTTACAACAGCATTAAATGAAATTAAAAATATCTCTAATTTATTGAGTAAGTAATGTTAAAAAAAACTCTTAAAACACACATTTCTAACTATAACTGTTATAATAAAGTCAGAAAAAAATTGATTGACTAATTGATATTTGGTGTTCAACGTCACTTTCAGTACTATTGGCTTTATTGTGGCTGTCAGAATTCATTGGTGGAGGAAGCCATAGTGCCAAGAGAGAACCACCAACTATTGGAAGGAAACCAGAGAATTCTAGTCAGTGAGAATTGGACTCTGAACACCTGCCATGTGCAAGGTTTAAACTCACAAACTCAGTGTTGACAGGCTAGTGGTCTAGTAGATGAAGTACTTAGACCACTCAGCCTCCAAGGCCCCAGTATAAAAAAAAAAAAAATCAAGTAAAAATTTGACGAGTATAGAATGAAACTATATACTGTAAATTCAGAAATTATTGTGTCCATTTATTATTGCGTTTTTTGAAGAATGGACATCAATGCGAGATTAAATATTGTGATTTCTGGAAAATATGCATACAGATATATGTATCCGATATCAAAATGTGAGTTCTTATTATTGTGATACTCACCAAGTCACATTATTCGCAATAATAAAAACCTCACAATAATTTCAGAATTTACATTAGGTTGAATATTCATAGAACAATCAAGACTTAAACAGAGACGCATTGAAATGAACAGATAAAAATAGACATTTTATACAGGATAATTAATGGAAGTTTTTGTAAAAAATTTTCATGCTGCAGGTGAATAGTTGGATAGGAAAGATAATACTGTACAAAGCTACTCAAATTCATTTTCACTCTTACATGTATTTCATTGAAGACCCCAGTGTAGCCTTGATTGTATGTGGTATGAACTCTTCAGTTAAAGATACCATGCGGTTGTACATTTTTTTTTAAATATTTTTTTTTTATTTCAGATCAACTTGATAGTGTGGACACTGCTAAATTAGATGCTTTAGAAAGAGACCTTGAGGATGCAGAGAGGCATTTAAGAGAAAATAATTTAGACAAACAATTTGTTGACCTTGAGAATGCAAATAATGAAGTCATAGATCTTGTTCTCAAAAGTAAACGAGAATATGATGACCTGAAGAAAGACGTAGAAAATATAGAACAAATAATGAATTCACTACCTGATGGTTGTTTCAAGAATATAGAAATAGAAACAGCACCTGGTCCTTAGATTATTAATGAATCAAGGGTTATCTTATGTAGCCATTGTCAAGTTGGAAGTCTAGATCTGAGCGATTGTTGGATGTAAATGGTAGAACACAATGAGAATGTGAAGAATTTTAAGATAAAGACAATCGTTTGAAACAGGACAAGTATATTCTACAAAAACTCAAAACTATGATAAATCATTCTTTCTTTTTTTTTTAAAAATGTCAAGATAAGTAAGCATACTTTTATTACCTTTGATATAAAGTTTATGCCTATGTAATTTCATCGAAGGTTTGATAAGAATATTTTGGTAGTTATCTATTTTGTTAGCTTTTCTTTTGAACAGTTAAATCTATGGGATCCTTTACTATTCTAGTCAATACTAATCATTTCCTCAATATGCTTGTGAATTGCAGGCAATTTGCATATGTAATATATCTTTCATGTATATTTAGAAATCAATTTTTTTCTGTCTTTTGTTCAATTTTGTATTCTAATTTTTTTTTTAATCAATTATTAGAACCACATTGAAATGTGCGTAGAAATTGTGAGATTGCACCTATGATCAGGGGTTTCGATTAAAATGTTTTCCTGGGATCTGGAACTTTTTTACTTTGCAACAGTAGTTAAAGATTTATTACCATGAAGATAGAAAGGTCCTGGGCCTTTTATTTGTCAGGAAAAATTTGATTCCTTAATAATATCTTGTAAAAGTTAAGAATTTATTCGAGTTCCTTCATGAAAAAGTCTTAATTTTTCAATTGATTTGCTATTATTTTTCAAACAATATAGGTTGACAAATATTGTGCTGTTAACAATCAAGGCCAGTGGAATCTCGTAGCAATAGTGTTGTTCATTGTCCTGTAGATAATCACATCTCATTAATATTATTATTTGGATTTCATTCAGATTCATTAATCATTAAATATCAATGAACTTCTCAATTTTGAATATTTGTCTAAACACTGCTTACAATTATGAATTCAGTGTTTAGAAACTTGAAAACTATATCAAGTTAATAGCATTTATAACTAAAAAAAAACATTTGACACATTTTAGTATTCCCTGATCCAGAAAATCCTTCTCTTTTGTCAGCCAAAATATCTCAACTGTGGAGTAGAATTTTGTTTACCTCAAATATGAAAATTTTAATAATGTGGTAATTTGATTCAGGGCTTAGAAATCATTGTAATATTAACAAGTTATAAGTTCAGGAAAAATTTTATCAGAAATTTCAACTCCATGTAAGAACTTCAAATCCCAACATAAGTAAACTGACTTATGCAATTATGTTTGATAAGGGGAAATTCTAGTATGTGTTAAAAGTGCAATTCCATGTGTATTAATTTATACATTATTTGAAATCCTTCCATCTGACAACAAGACAATTTTCAATTCTAATATGATTAATTTTTCTTTCTGTCGAAAAAGTCTGAAATTACAATTATAAATGTAGATTGTATAAATAACAGGACTGAAAATAACATTCTATTTAGAAATATCTTCATGAGTATTTAAGACAACCGCAACCTACCATGGTATCCGTATTGGTAACTCTATCTAAACTAATAGCTAGAAGATGTTGGTTCACTTATGTAATTTGTTCTGAAAATTGTATTTTGTGTGATAACAATTAATTGCTTCTAGACTGTACAGTTTAACGAAATTATTGACAAAACCACCATGACCACGTATAGAAATGCGTATAGTGCCTAGAATTGAGAACTATGATGATATGCCATTAATATATATACCTCAAGTGGGAATACTCTGTTCTTGTTATTATAAAGATATTTCAAAAAGGCAGACTTCTTTTTTATATATCATTTTTGCAATGCTTAAAACATAAATAGAATCCTAGAAAATTTTATTTATTTGGATAAATATTCTGCAGTTAAGTATAAATTCCTTGGCATTAGATGTTGCAAATAAAGATACCACAAATAGTAATGTGATTGTAAGAAGCTCCATCATAGCATTTAGTATAAACTCTTAGATATTCAAATGCTTGTTTGCTTGGTAATGTGTAAATGACCATTGATTTTAGCAAGTTATTTTAAAATGAGTAGTAGTATACATGTATATCAAGTTATTATACGACCGCAAAAAAATTTTGTGGTCGTATATTGGTATGACGTTGGCGTCGTCGTCGTCGTCGTCGGCGTCGTCGTCGTCGTCCGGCGTCGTCGTCCGAATACATATTGGTTTTCGCACTCTAACTTTAGTTTAAGTGAATGGATCTTTTTGAAATTTGACCATAAGGTTAAATACCACAAAAGGAAGGTTGGGATTGATTTTGGGGGTTATGGTACCAACAGTTAAGGAATTAGGGGCCAAAAAGGGGCCAAAAATGAGCATTTTCTAGTTTCCAGACAATAACTGTGGAACGGTGTATGGATCTCTCTGAAATTATACTACAAGTTTCCATACCACAAAGGGATGGTTAGGATTTGCTTTGGGGGGTTATGGCTCAAACCGTTTAGGAATTTGGGGCAAAAAAGGGGGAAAAACAAGGTTGTCCTGGTTAATGGACAAATACTTTAGTACAAAACATAATTTAAAGCAGTGTAAGGGAGATAAATCAAATACATCATTGAAATTATCTCCCTTACACTGCTTTTAAATTATGTATAAAGTAATGGTTAATGAACAATAAAGATAATCTAAAACAGTGTAAGGGAGGTAATCCAAATACAATGTTTTGGTTACTTCCCTTACACTGCTTTTAAATTATGTTTACAGAAATGCATATTTATAAAGGAAGACCAGTAAAAATATCTGCAAATGTTTTCATCTTTTTTTTTTACAAAAAAATCCATATGAAAGATTTGACACTATATTTTTATTAATTCTATTATAAAATAGATTAAGTTAGCACTATGGTAAATTTAAATGGGTAATTATGGTTGCCAACTCCATTGGAAATTTGAATTGAGATTATGACCATATCTTGAGGGAAAGAATTTTTTGGGGGAAAAAGGGGGGGGATAAAAAGAAATTGTGGGGGGCCAATTTTTTCTCATTTCAGATTTCAGAAATTAAAAAGAATTATTCTTCAAATATTATTTTTTTTTCAAATTTCAAATATTGAAAAATTTCAAGAAGTAATCTTTAATTGCACAGTATGGCGCATTAGATTTGTAAAATCTTTGATCACATTTATTTATTTGTTATGCCGAATCTAACAGTGTATTTAGATTTTTAATTTTGGGTCCAGTTTTCAAATTGGTCTACATTAATGTCCAAAGGGTCCAAAATTAAACTTTGTTTTATTTTAGCAAAAATTGAATATATGAGGTTCTTTGATATGCTGAATCTAAACATGTATTTAGATTTTTGATTTTTGGCCCAGTTTTTAAGTTGGTCCAAATTGGGGTCCAAAATTAAACTTTGTTTGATTTCAACAAAAATTGAATATATGGGGTTCTTTGATATGCTGAATCTAACCATGTATTTAGATTTTTTATTTGTGGACCCCGTTATCTAATTGGTTCATATTGAGGTCAAAAGGGTCCAAAATTAAACTTTGTTTGATTTCATCTAAAATTGAATTCTTGGGGTTCTTTGATTTGCTGAATCTAAACATGTGTTTAGATTTTTGATTATGGGCCCAGTTTTCAAGTTGGTCCAAGATAGGGTCCAGTATTTAAACTTTGTTTGATTTCAACAAAAATTGAATATATGGGGTTCTTTGATATGCTGAATCTAAACATGTATTTAGATTTTTGATTATGGGCCCAGTTTTCAAGTTGGTCCAAATTGGGGTCCAAAATTAAACTTTGTTTGATTTCAACAAAAATTGAATATATGAGGTTCTTTGATATGCCGAATCTAACCATGTATTTAGATTTTTTATTTGTAGGCCCCGCTATCAAATTGGTTCATATTGAGGTCAAAAGGGTCCAAAATTAAACTTTGTTTGAGTTCATCGAAAATTGAATTATTGGGGTTCTTTGATATGCCAAATCTAACCGTGTTTTTAGATTTTTAATTTGGGTCCCGTTTTTTAAATTGGTCTTCATTGAGGTCCAAAGGGTCCAAAATTAAACTTAGTTTGATTTTAACAAAAATTGATTTCTTGGGGTTCTTTGATATGCTGAATCTAAACATGTGTTTAGATTTTTGATTATGGGCCCAGTTTTCAAGTTGGTCCAAGTTGGGGTCCAAAATTAAACTTTTTTTGATTTCAACAAAAATTGAATATATGGGGTTCTTTGATATGCTGAATCTAACCATGAATTTAGATTTTTTATTTGTGGGCCCCGCTATCAAATTGGTTCATATTGAGGTCAAAAGGGTCCAAAATTAAACTTTGTTTGATTTCATCAAAAATTGAATTATTGGGGTTCTTTGATATTCCAAATCTAACCGTGTATTTAGATTTTTAATTTTAAGTCCCGTTTTTTAAATTGGTCTACATTAAGGTCCAAAGGGTCCAAAATTAAACTTAGTTTGATTTTAGCAAAAATTGAATTCTTGGGGTTCTTTGATATGCTGAATCTAAACATGTGTTTAGATTTTTGATTATGGGCCCAGTTTTCAAGTTTGTCCAAGTTGGGGTCCAAAATTAAACTTTGTTTGATTTTAACAAAAATTGAATATATGGGGTTCTTTGATATGCTGAATCTAACCATGTATTTTGATTTTGGACATTGGACCATAATAGGTAAATTAAAAAAATTCAAGTTCTTAGACCACATTCTTTCTGTGTCAGAAACCTATGCTGTGTCAAATATTTAATAACAATCCAAATTCAGAGCTGTATCAAGCTTGAATGTTGTGTCCATACTTGCCCCAACTGTTCAGGGTTCGACCTCTGCGGTCGTATCAAGCTGCGCCCCAGCGAAGCATTTTATTCAAATTGAAATAAACAGTTATTGTAAAAGAAATCATTTATGACTGAATCTTAATAGTGTTACAGGTTGTAAAATAACTGTATGCTTATTGAATCAGGTTTATATGTTTTAACATATTAAAACCAAACTTCATGCTTTGATATGTAGTGGTTGTTAAAATAATTAAACCTGCCTCTCCATTCATAAGGACTTTTTCGTATACATATTATAGTATATCTATTAGTTTTAAGCTTTTTTTGAATTCATTGAGGTGATTAGCTTTTTTAAAGAAAAATCTGATGATTCAGCAAAGTTACTTTATAATAGGTTGTATGATGGATTTTTTGTCATCAACACTTTACTGTAAATGTGTAAAATTTCAATGGTGCTATTTTTACATTGTTTGTGATGTAGTTTTACTCAAGGGCAAGACTATCAGTTCTTTCATTAAATGTACAGATATTTATACTTCACTTTTTTGTAATTGTATTCATAAATGTAGTAGAAGACAAAGTTGTGCAATGCACGCTGGTTGTAACGCCCCATATGTTAGTCAACATACACCATGCTCAGGACTGGGTATTTGAACCCAGTACATTTAGGCTAACTATGAATTCAAATTTTCATTTTGGAAAATCAAAGTTACCAAAGTTAGCTCCAAAGAATCTTTTGACCTTTCCAACTACCTTATATAGTCATTACTGCATTTAAAATTTCAGGAGAATTAGAAGTATTGTTATAAGAAGGTAGAAGGTTGTATCAACTTATAGTTAATATATATATACAATGAGTCTTTATATTTGTGTTTTTTCCTTCAAAACACCTTATTTTCTTCATATTAAAAGTTTTTTAGATTGAAAAAAGGGTATTTAAGGTTGACTGGAATCAAAATTTATTTATATTTTTCATTCAGAATATTAAGCAGTTCATTATGGAGTATATTCTTTCACTTCATACACATCAACAATTATGTGCCAAATATATGCAAAACTTACAAAAACATTTTTAGTAGCTATATGTAGATAAAATTTTGTATAGATATTTTTAATCATGATCTTTACCATTTAATATTGTATTTATATATACCGGTAGACTATTTTTATCCATCAGTTTTATATGAATTAGTGTTTTATAGCTGTTATTGTGTGCTGTATTGTTGTGAGTAACTCTCTTCAAATTTATTTTGTGATTAGAAAAAAGTTAGTAATTCTGATGTCATTTCTGATTGGTTGTTTTTTTTAGAGAGTTTTTGAAAGACTTTGTAATATCTTGGAAAATGCATCATAGATATATGGACCTTTTAAGTTATTTAAATTAAAATTCATTGTAACATTTGATCATTTGAATTTCGAGTGGTACCTTTCAAGAATTTTGATGAAAAAATAATTTAACTGTCAATAGCTGTTGTATTTTAAAAAATTTTGTACATAAGGTTTAAAACAGCATACGCAAAATAAATTTTGATAGGTTATTTGTAACACAATGATGTCAGTGTAAGTTTGTCAGCATGTATTTAGTACATTTTTTTTGTCATGCATTTGACATGGCCGATATCCCACCTACTTATCATCGTTGTACTTTTCTTTAAGATAGTCCCATTTGTAAAAAATGTTCTATGACAGCTGTACATTTGATATTATTAAAAAAAATTACACCACTTTGTGTTCTATCTCTGTGTCTGCCTATACCTATGCATTTACATTTAATGATTAAAATACTTTACCTCATCGTCTTTCTAAATATGATTAGTAATAAAGATAGGGAGAAAATAGTAATGTTTAATTTTGTGTAAGGATACATTATGGGGAGCATACCAGCCTCCTGAAAATGAAAGTCATTCTGTCCAATTTTTGTTTGAAAGATTGGACCTATTGTTCCAAGTCTTTCCTAAGGCACTGGCCTCCCTTACAAGAAGTAGCACAGGTTAGCTACTAAATCTAAAAATGTATGCACACAGAAATATAGTTCCCTATGAATCTCATGTCTGTGTACATATACACATATGAAATGTGAAAAATTTGGGTTATATTTTTATAGCTTTTCATTTAAGTATGTATGTCTTTAAGGTTTGTCAATGTGCAGGCTATTTTTGTCATTTTTTTTAAGGTAAGAGTAATGATACAATAGCAGTATGATTGACACCTGTCTTGATCACCAAACAATCAGAGAAAAGGTGGGGCCTTAATTACAAGGCACCACCTCCTTAAATGCCAATCACATTGACCACATTACTGATCAACCCCTGACAGCCTTACATAATTAAACATACCCTTTATTATACCCCCGCTTTAAAAAAGGGGGGTATAC